GACTGTTCAACACGCTTCCACTACACATAAGGGACATAACTGGCCGACCCCTCAGTGTTCAAGAGAGAACTATCAACATCAGAGGCCCGAGACTGTTCAACACGCTTCCACTACACATAAGGGACATAACTGGCCGACCCCTCACAGTGTTCAAGAGAGAACTATCAACATCAGAGGCCCGAGACTGTTCAACACGCTTCCACTACACATAAGGGACATAACTGGCCGACCTCTCACAGTGTTCAAGAGTCAACTGCATAAACCCCTCCAAAGGCTACCTGATCAATCAGGCTGTGACTCATACGTCAAGCTACGAGCAGCCGCGTCCAACAGCCTATTGACCAATCCAGCAACGAGGAGTCCTGGCCAGAGACCGGGCCACGGGGCCATTGATCCTCAGTAATATACGACAGGTATACCCTCAAACCCTACCCCACCCAACCTATGATCAAGAGATTATATAGTGTTAGAAATCGAGCGTGGAGACGGCGGTTGGCGTGACAACGGCATGTGGCAGGAGGTCTTCGGCGGCTCCTGAGGAGGGTGACACATGGCAGGAGGTCTTCGGCGGCTCCTGAGGAGGGTGACACATGGCAGGAGGTCTTCGGCGGCTCCTGAGGAGGGAGACACATGGCAGGAGGTCTTGGGCGGCTCCTGAGGAGGGTGACACATGGCAGGAGGTCTTCGGCGGCTCCTGAGGAGGGTGACACATGGCAGGAGGTCTTCGGCGGCTCCTGAGGAGGGTGACACATGGCAGGAGGTCTTCGGCGGCTCCTGAGGAGGGTGACACATGGCAGGAGGTCTTGGGCGGCTCCTGAGGAGGGTGACACAAACCAGAAACAAGCCAAGGCTTGGGAGGAGGGAGAAGAATGGAAAAGATAGTATAGGCAATGCTGGAAAATGAAAGTGGAAGACGAAGGAATAAGAGAGAGGCATGCATGAGGAGGGGTGAATGAATGAGAATGAAAAGGGAAAAAGAGAGAGGGGGAAGGAAAAGGGTAGAAGCAATACGTTTATTGAGACGCTACAATACACCTCAGAGGGGTAGAGTAGCTTAGGCTACTTCTACCAGAGGGGTAGAGTAGCTTAGGCTACTTCTACCAGTGGGGTAGAGTAGCTTAGGCTACTTCTACCAGTGGGGTAGAGTAGGTTAGGCTACTTCTACCAGTGGGGTAGAGTAGCTTAGGCTACTTCTACCAGTGGGGTAGAGTAGCTTAGGCTACTTCTACCAGAGGGGTAGAGTAGCTTAGGCTACTTCTACCAGAGGGGGTAGAGTAGCTTAGGCTACTTCTACCAGAGGGGTAGAGTAGCTTAGGCTACTTCTACCAGAGGGGGTAGAGTAGCTTAGGCTACTTCTACCAGAGGGGGGTAGAGTAGCTTAGGCTACTTCTACCAGAGGGGTAGAGTAGCTTAGGCTACTTCTACCAGAGGAGTAGAGTAGCTTAGGCTACCTCTACCCTCGTCTACTTCAAGTCCCTCAAGGGGCGCACAAATCCAGTGAGTACAATCCACAATTCACAACACAAGAATCCCATTTAACATTGCAGGTTAATATAGTCAACACAGTATACAAGTGTTACACTCTTGGGGACAAAAGTGCTTGTAGCTCCCAAGTATTCTATCACACCATTACCACACATCCAAACAATTTCATGTGGTACATTACTTAAGGTTAGGTGAAGTTTTATTTGCAACATCAGTACCAAAAACTCCTCCGGTTTCGTCCAAATTCAACAGTACCGATTTCTACTTTCCAATTGTCTTTTGCGTCAAATATATGTCCAATGGTCGACAGCGTGGGGAGGGGGGGGGGGGGAAGGAGGAAGGGAGGGAGGTGTGAGGGAGGAGAGGAAGGGAGGGAGGTGTGAGGGAGGAGAGGAAGGGAGGGAGGTGTGAGGGAGGAGAGGAAGGTAGGGAGGTAGGGAGAGAGGGAGACAGGGAGGGGACGGCGGTGAAGGAGTGGCCCACGTATCGATCAAGACACTAACCCCCACCCCCACCCCCTCCTCAACCAATACCAGCAGCAACCACGTGCTGCGCCCACACCCAACACCCACTGACCTTATCTACACCCCATCACCACACACCTACCACGTGTACACCCACACCCCCACATGGTGGAGGCTGACTCCATACACAGTTTCAAGTGTAGATATGATAAGAGCCCAGTAGGCTCAGGAACCTGTACACCAGTTGATTGACAGTTGAGAGGCGGGACCAAAGAGCCAGAGCTCAACCCCCGCAAGTACACGCACACCAAACATTCTTGCTGGCGGTCTGGTAATAGATGTTGCTGATCGATGAATTACTCCCTGATTGACCAGGTAACTGATTGAGGGCGCCTAACAGCTGGGTGGACAGCGCTTCGGATTCCTAGTCCTGAGGTTCCGGGTTCGATACCCGGTGCGAGGCAGAAACAAATAGGTACCTGGGAGTTAGATAGCTGCTACGGGCTGCTGCCTGGGGGGATGGTGTAACAAAAAAGGTGGCCTGGTCGAGGACCGGGCCGCGGGGATGCTAAGCCCCGAAATCATCTCAAGATAACCTCAAGAGGTACTCCTTGGAGGTGTTTACTAAGTTCTCTAACACTGTAAGAGGTCAATTAGTTATGCCACTTTATGTATAGAAATGGAGTTGAAAACATGAACCAACTGAACCATCGCACATCTATTAATGCCTGGAAATTTGTTCCACCAATCATCAACGCCATTTTCAAACCCAACAATTACTCAGGTCTCTTCTGAATTTAGGTTTATCCAATTTATATCCACCCGCCCTCACACCACCATGTGTTCAATAAACCCTTGAACTATATGTTTAACACATCTCTAACCCTCTCCATGGAGGACACAAGAAAATGTATATATGCTGGTTACCATTGTAAATGTCTGGCCACGTCTGTGGTAGAAAATAATAATAATGATAATAATAATAATAATAATGATAATAATAATAATAATAATAATAATAATAATAATAATAATATAAAAAAAAAAAAAAAAAACACCATGGCACTGTACTGTAGAACGCTATTATCTCTCAGAGGAATGCACTTAAGATTAGGTTACGAATTCTTTTCATAACAGTTTCCAGGACTTCCTTTAAGGCTGATATCAAATTTACTCTCTTCTCTAACATTACATTTTTTTCTTTTGATACATTAAATACTGTCAAATTTATTTCTCCCTCCCTTTAATATCAGCATCAGCTGGTCACCTGAAAAATGTAATTAAGGTTTTGACATTTTCCTAATTTTTCTTCCCATGTCTTAAAAAATCAAAATGTTTGAAATTTTGTTCATTTCACAGTGATTTTTAATCTATAAAGACTGAAATTACATTGACCCAAGCAATTTTGGCCATGATAGGGCGCTTCGGCACCAATCCTTGACTATTTGCCTCTGTTCTTCCAGCAGCAAATGGGAAGACCTGGTGGTAAACAGATTGCGTACCATGTTCTAGGGAAAATTAGTACTGCATGATAATGCTTAAAAAGACATGCGAAAGAAAGAGCTTCGAGGCTGATAACATGTGTCGGAAGTCCTCTGCTTCTCAGCCCTCCTTGCATAAACAAATTAAAAATAAAAAAATTTATATTTTGTTTCCCTAATGTAAACAATAATCTCTAGGCTAGTGTAAATGTGATAAGAACTCTAAGACAAACTTCATCAGGTGCACCTTGATAACAAGTCTTGTCTTCTTAAACATGTTTGTGGGGGAACTAAGGTTACGAGGCCTATGAACACCTTCACTAAACCCACCTACACTCCACCCACCCGTTTTTTTCACTAAACCCATCTTCACTACACCTACCAAAACGATACACAATCATCATTGCAACACCCACCCAAATTTTTGCCATTGCCACCTTAATCACAACCACCTAAGCATTTCAACACCATAATTTCAATTACCTGTACACCCACCTCAGAGTTTAACACCAACACTACACCTTATTTATTATCCCCTTGCAGCTGGGTGTATCTTATCTGTAATTAAGGTTTTGTACTGTGTGGGAATCATCTCAACATCAGTATTCATGGGACATTGCTTTCTATAATATGATTCATCGTTAACATGGCTAGCAGGCTTTCATCTTGCCTCTCTGAGGTCAATTCTATTATGTTGGAATTATCACAAGCTTGCCCGATTTTTAGTTCATGGCCAGCTTAAGCAAAGATATTATAGAGAAATTGGCAAATAATGGTGGACGTCGCATTAGAGTTTTTATTATTACTTAAAATAATGTTTCACACCATTTGCTAAACACAGCAAATTATTTTTGTTTTTGTCTGTGTGTAACACACATCAGTCACATTAATAGCATTTGTAATGTTAGTGTGTTTGGCAGAAGCTTTTAAAAGCCCTCTTTCAGTGTTGTTGTTATGTTCAACATTCCTGATAGTGTAAGGTTGTGACTGATGTAAAGTTTCAGCTTCTTTTGTGGTATTGGATGACAAGGATGACATGGTCTGGAGTTATCATTGGACTAAACATGTGGTCAGGATCGACTATATGCACACCTACTATATCTTGAGCAGTAAGTCATTGTATACTGACCGAGCTCTGCCTGTTGCCTCATGACGGCTCGGCCATGCCAAGGTTCCAAAGCTTGCTGCTTAACACTATCATTGACACTAACAAAAAATTGTATACACTGTCGGGATTGCATCCTTTAGTCAGAAAATGAACTTTATAGGCCATAATCAACTATCATCCAGCTTTTGGTCAGAAAGAGGCTCTACAAGGCTCTTTACTGCTCTTCGGATAATGAAAGTATGAAAGACATTCTTCCCCCTTCCACAACAAAGCAGTGGCCATTGGGAGGGCTTTAGACGTGGGAAAAAAACCAAGCTAAACTACCCAATAAATTGCTGCATAGATCAGATCACATACCATGCTTCAAGGGTTATGGAGTCCCCCCCCCCCCCATAATTTTTTGTATGTACATCTTTTGTATGTAAATCTTTTCAATATAAAAAAAATAACTTCAGTACTTACCATTCGAAGATTTCAGGTCTCTATGAATAATCTTAACAGGGGCTTGATTGTGGAGGTAGTTCATTCCTCGGGCAATCTGGATTGCCCAGTCTGTTAGCACAGAAGGGCCTATGGCTTTTCTCTGTTGAAGAACACGATTCAAAGAGCCGCCTCTTGCATATTCCATCACTAGACACAGGTTAGGTTCAACAAGACATACACCCTTTAATGCAACTATGTTCTCATGTTTAAGTAGCCAGAATAGTTTAGCCTCTTGCCGCACATTTTCAATAGTGACACTAATGTCCTCGTCCGGATCCTGCCTTGCTGCCTTCACTGCCACTTCCTGGCCATTCCATAAACCTCGATACACCTTTCCAAAGCCCCCAACACCAATCACCTCTTCCAATTCCAACTCATTAAAGTCAATTTCAATTGGTTCCACATCTTTAATGTTCTGGACCTCCGCCACAAAATTGGATGGGAAGATGCCAACCTAAAAAAAGAGAGTTAAGAGAACATTTGTATTACTCAGAATCAATTTAGTCAAAAGTTATCTGCAAACATGTTAAATTATTAAAAATTCCTTCAATATCACCTTACCCTACAGAGCTTTTAAGTAAATCTAGCCAGGCATTCTTATTAGAGGTATACTGATACTAATATGTTGACTGATACTAATATTATCACCCAAATATAATGTTGCAACACATTTAGGATATCCTGCTTAAAACTTAGGTTGATAGTTAAGACCAAGAGCTGAAGTTCAACCCCTGCAAACTCACAATTAGGCAAGTGTTAAGCAGGAGTGCTTGAAATGGGTAGGGGTGGAAGTAGGTGGGAAATGAATGGCTGGGTGCAGGGATTAGCTGGGGGCAGGAGCACTCGCCTAATTGTGCTTCGTTGGGTCGAGCTTCGGCTCTTTGGCCATGCTTCTAAGGCTTCAATTAACTGGTGTAAGGGTTCCCGAGCCAAATGGGCTGTCATGTCAACATTTAAAGCACTGCAAGGAGTCTGCCTCTGCTCCTTCCCTTTACAGTGCATTCCATTTGTTCACTACTACGACATTAAACAATTCTCTTGAGAATTGCATATACAGTACAGTATTGCAATTATCTCTCAAAACTCTTATCTTCTGGAGATGTGAGGTTTAGCACATAACTCAACCCTCTGGGAAGGAAGAGACGATTGGTCATCGATAATTAACTTAACCCACGTTTACCCAGCAATAATTAGGGACCTGCTTGTAAGCTCATTGACAGATTGTATTCCAGGCAAAACTGGTGAGGTACAACTGTAGATGAGCTGTGGGAAGGAGAGCCATAAGTCTGCTAACAGGTGTCATTTGCTTTTTACCCACCTGTATAATAATGAAAAAACGAGTACTGTACTCTATATATACTGTACAGTATATCAAAGTTCAAATAAAATTGTACTAATATTGCAAAAACACCCCGATACCAATAATGTATACATTGTATCTGTACACCTCTAATCTTATTCTCTGAAAATTAAATGAAATAAAATAATATACATTACTGGTATAGCCCATCAGGATTAGTTTATACACTAGTATAATGGTAAACTAACAACTGGTACCACATGTGTGGTACCAATTGTGGTACCTAGTGTTAAACAGATCTGTAAATATTGCTGTACTCAACCTATTTTAATTTTCAGTTTAATTTAACAAATCTCATTTGCCCTTGTCTTCAGTAAAGAATTCCTTGTTTGGACAGCTGTCCATCTGGACACTGGTGGTTTAAAACTTCCTTTTCTACATTTGTTAAACACCATAAAAATAACTAGAGCATAATGCATATATACCATGTTATATATCTTGTACAGATCACATTCAAGGATCTGTAGTGCACTGCTTCCCCCAGTCAACTATACTATCATTTTTAAGACCAGAGCCTTGGCCAAGGTAAGGTTGCTCATAGTGCAGGAGGCCAAAATGAGGTGTTAAGAGTGTCAATCCATTCATGGAGTCTGTGGATAGTTGCCCTACAGGCACTACTCTTACAATTCAATGGAAAACTATCACTGCCCCTTTCGTTCAAGTGAAGATTTGAACTTGGAACCACTGTATTGACAGTCCAATACTTGAGCTTAACTACTCTTGTTAGAGTGCCCAAACTGAAAGTCAAGTGAGGTTGGCCTTACTATGAAAGACAATGAGTCAGTAGACATCTCCCACTTTTATTGTCTAACAAGTGGGCATCACAAAAGGTTAGGCATAAAGAGTACATTTCCATAAGCAGATGATAATACTGTAATTCTCTCACCTTCCCATTGATCTTCCCGATCCACCAGCCTTCGTCTCCTGAAATTTTAACATCCTGGCTGAGAACCTCGATAATCTCTCCATGACGTAAGCTGAGCTCATCGTCGCCCTGTGCCTCGTAGTCATAGAGGGTTGTACACACACACGTTTGATTCTGACTCGTACGCCCCACTGATGCCTGTTAAGAAGAGTTAAGTCAAATTAACCACAGAATAAATGCAACCATCACAAATATTTTTAGTCTATTACATACCTGTACCATGCAAACCATCACAAGTATGATTTGCCTAACACACAGAAATCACAATAGCATGATCATCAAATGAACAGCGTGACGCATCAAATGAATCGACCGAGTCGTAGCTCAGTCGATTAAGGCAGCGTCTGGGATCCTCTCGGACGTAGGTTCGAACCCTCATCACGGCCCTTGTGGATTTGTTCATGATTTGCCCATTACATACGTGTGCCATATACAAAGTCAATTACCTACAGTATATCCAATTTAGCCTCAACCAAAAATATTATACCTTTACACATGTTAGGCATACAGTAACACTCCAAGAAGGAAATTCCTGCATCACTTTGAAAAAAAAATCACCAGGGCATTTGCATACTGGTATTGTATTGCGTATACAGTATAGTATCACAATGACATGTTAATATGACATCCACAAATATTTGGGGAAGTATTTGTGGTGAACATTTGACATCCAGGTGTCTCTTACAAAAATATTTTAATTGTCAAAATAAAGATGTTAAAAATTTTAAATTTTGGTTTTTACTATTTTTGGGTAAAACTACACGTAATAAGATGTGTCTGTAAATTGGTAGTGAAAATGATATGTCATTTTTCTCCAGATGGAAAATGAACTAAATCACCTGTGGAAAACCAATGCAAATTGCAATACTAAGCTGCATAGCATATAAAAACCAGATCTTAATGTTCACTAGTTCCCATAATATACAGTATGACACTGAACAAGGAGTTCAGTGCTGTATGAAGTACTGCAAAGACAGATCCTAAGAGTTTTCTCATATCAAACAAGGATCTGGGAGCAGATTTGACCAATGGTAAATGAGAGAGATCAGATAACTAATAATGACAAATAATGGTGTTATGGTTAGAAACAATATGAGTTGCCTGGTATGAGCTAATAATAACCCTATTTTCAAACTAGAACCAATCAATTTGTACTAATTTTTTTTTTAATTTGTTCTTAAATCAAACATTAATACATTTTTTGCATTCTTACTGAATTGGATTGAAATGCTTAACTTTGTTACTATATCCAATGTTGTAACCTTACAACCATGTGTACACTTTGATCACACCATCTCCTAAACCTTCCCCTTTCTATTGAATACAAGTTTCTTCAAACAATCTTCACAGGACGCTAAAATGCATCTGTCAATCTAATGCCCACTGCGACAATCAATCCAGATCCTGCTGAAGTGTTTGAGAATCTTTGTACAGGGTATGAGGCCTGGTCAAGGACCGGGCCGCGGGGACACTAAAAGCCCCGAAATCATCTCAAGATAACCTCAAGATAACACTATCTTCATGTCTTCTGCAAATTTATTAATATTGCACTTCTACCAATTCCCATATCCAGGTCGTTTATGTACAGTATTCTATTTGATAAACAGATGTCCAATGATGAACTTATGACACTCCGAGTGTCATGTTCGTGGGATTTAATTAGAAATTTGTTAATGCATTATCTGTTGCATCTATATTATAATACAGTGTCAAGTCACCCACAGGTAAAATCACTGCACATCCTAAGTAACTCCTTGCCTTCCCCTAAGCTGGCAAGGAGTTACTTAGTTGGGGAGTCGGTCGGCCGAGCGGACAGCACGCTGGACTGTGATCCTGTGGTCCCGGGTTCGTTCCCGGGCACCGGCGAGAAACAATGGGTAGAGTTTCTTTCACCCTATGTCCCTGTTACCTAGCAGTAAATAGGTACCTGGGTGTTAGTCAGCGGTCACGGGCTGCTTCCTGGGGGTGGAGGCCTGGTCGAGGACCGGGCCGCGGGGACACTAAAGCCCCGAAATCATCTCAAGATAACCTCAAGAAGCTAATTAACTGTCAGCACTGACGCACCACCGTGATGTCTCACCCTCTAACAACACTTGTGCAGTCACTCGGAGGAGAAAACCTTCACAAATCATAGGACAAAGTAGAGACTGATTTATTCTGGCAGATGTTGTAACATCTATGTATTATAGATGTTACAACATTCACAATGGCTCCCAGTGATATGTCAATTCCTTCCATCTACACATCACACCAACTTCTTATGGATAACATTTCAAAGAGAACTACATACTGTACTTTACTTCAAAAGGATTATCAGGATCAACTCATTGCACTTCTGGGTTATTGTCACACCAGACTGAATACAGTGTATTAGGCCTATTATCATTCTTTTAAAGGCAACTTATCATACATTTATTAGGTAATGTACCTAATAAATAATAATTCATTGGGTCGGGGAACAGCCAACCAGTGTATACTGTATATATATATATACATGTTAGGCTTATATCATCCTCCCCAGGGTCAAATTACTGACCCTCCCCAGGATATAACCCCACAACATGCCGACTAGTTCCTGGTTATATATTTACTGCTAGGTGAACAGATAAATTAGGTGAATGGAAATGCACCCAACCACTTCTGCCCCAACCAGGATTCGAACACACAATTCTCTATAGTGGGCCGAGAACGAACTCTACTGTACTACTGGGACTCTACTGCATTACAGATAAGAAATACAGCAAGAGTTGTTAAAATAAGCACTGAATACATATTAACATGTACAGAAGGCCTACAATACTATATATGAAAAAATATACAGCACAGTAGGCCTACAGTACACAATACTATATGAACAAAATATCAAACTTACACACAAGCCACACGCACTTGCTAAGTAGCGAGGCAAAAGGATTCGTTTCATTATCATATTTATCATAATACAGTATATGTATCATAATAAATGTATAGTATCATAATGTATGTACGGGAAGTTAGCGAAAAGAAACATCAACTTGGGTTGATGCAAATGTCCCTGCATGGAGGATCTTTGATAGTTCCCCAGCTTCTTGTTCCCATTCAGACCACTAGAGATAGTGGTCCTCTAGACCACTATCTCTAGGACCACTAGAGATAGTGGTCCTCAGGTAAATTAAAGTATGCATTTGTAATGCCATGGTCATAATCCTGATGACTGCAGGTCACTGGCAACAGCATAACCAAAATAATCAAGCTTCCAAGAGACATATGACAAAGAACATAACATTTACTCCAATCTAAATATCACTCTGAAAACTTAAATTTTTATGGAAGGGAATGGAATCTGAGGAAAGTGTCAAGCCATTTAGAAAATACATGCACTGGGCAGGGATCAGGATAAGGATTTTTGATGGGACGGGGGAAGGAATGGCGCTTCTAAAATACTAAATTTTTATGGAGATAGCACTTTTAAAGGTCTTTAATAAATGCTGATTTGGTTGCTATGAGGCCAAGTTACTCCATTTCCAGTGGCTACAATACCTAGACAATAATTCATAAAATTAGAATGTGTGGATAAAATGACACCAGGAAGACCCAGGTTCAAGACTGCTGTAAGAAAATAAATGTTAATTGCCCACAGATATTCTATTCCAACTCGTTCCTTCCAATCACCATTCTGTTTTCCTGGACTTTTCTAGATGTATGAGATGTTATTCAACTCAATTTCCATGCATTGTTTTGGAAAGGTGACCATACTGGAAACTACACAGCACTTTTTTTTTTTTTTTGAGATATATACAAGAGTTGTTACATTCTTGTACAGCCACTAGTACACGTAGCGTTACAGGCAGGTCCTTAATCCTATGGTCCCTGGAATACGACCCCCACGAAGAATCGTTGTTACAACCAAATACCCATTTTACTGTTGAGTTAAACAGAGGCTACAGTTAAGGATTTGCGCCCAGTAAATCCTCCCCGGCCAGGATACGAACCCATGACATAGGACTCGCGGAACGCCAGGCGAGTGTCTTACCACTACACCACGGAGACTGATAAAAAGACTTTCCTATCAGGAAAACCTTCCTTTCCTTTCCAAGGAAGACTTGATAAACTGACTTTCTCAACAAAAATACTGTAACTGAATCATCCGAGTAATACAGTACATTCTAACCTAAGAATTGTGCACGTGCTAGCAGTCACAGTGGCACAGTGGTAAAACGCTCGCTTGGTGCATCGCGAGCGATTTGATCTGGGTTCGTATCCTGGCCGGGGAGGATTGACTGGGTGCCAATCCTTAACTGTAGCCTCTGTTCACCCAGTAGAGAATGGGTACCTGGTTGTTAAACAATTTGGCAAGTCGTATTCTGGGGAAAAATTAGGATTAAGGACCTGAGAAAAATGCTGTATGCTAGTGGCTGCACAAGAATATAAGAACTCTTGTATACAGTATATAAATAAAAGAAAAAAGATGTTGAATTATTCAGCACTGTGCTACTGTATTTAGACACAAGCTGACCTCGATATAAACCTCGATGTATAAATACAATGGCTGCCTGTCCCACTGACCATTACTTATTTTTTTATTTTTTTGAACGATGCAATTTATTAGTGTACTTTTATCAAGTGGAAGAAGGGTTGAGGCGGAGGTGGTAAACTGACCTGAGCGCTCGAGGACGATGAGGTGTTCTGGGAGGCTGGGGCACCAGAGGGAGTCGGGCAGCTGTAGTCATCGCCATTCTCCAGAGCTGCTGCTGCTTTCTTTCGCTTGGTCTCCATGGGGCCCGTCGGCTCTACTGGAGACATGGGTGTCGGGCAGCGAACATGTACGGTGGTCCCCCGGCCTCCCCCGCAGGCATTCCGCACCTCCCACCCATTAGGGGTCCGGCCCGACCTGACAAGATCTTCCTGGCATATAAAGTCTAAGAGTCCAGCGCGGCTCCCACGCTGGGCTGCCAGACTCTGGAGTCTGCCAGAGCTAGAGGGAGACGGAGCAGACTCCTGGGGCGGGGCACCACATGCCCGGGGCGAGGAGGGTAGGGCACACACACACACACTAGCCTAGCCTAGCCCCACACCAGCCTGGCCGAGGCACCAACAACCCCGCCTCTCTCTCATTTAGCAACTTAGCATGCAACTTGACACAGGTTCCAGTCGCCGATATTTCTAGAGTTTTTCCAGCAGTTGCCGAGAGGGTGAGTGGCTAGGTGGTGGGTGAGAGGGGCAGCATCATGACGGGAGAAGGTACATTAACCCAAGCTCCACCACCTACACAAACCACCTGACTTTTACCCTTCTCTCCTTCATCTTACCAAACCATAATTCACCGCTACCTATTTACTCACTCGCTGCACTTTTGTCAACCCGCAAGCATCACTGGTCGGCCCGCAGCGCATGCCACACGCACCTCACAGCCCACCGATATCTGGTAAGGGCGTCATAGATGTAGAATCGATAAGTTAGGGCGAGAAAGCCTCTGTCACGTCATCCCACCACAACATCCACAGCTCGACTGCGGCCATTTTCTCTCACCGTGACCTTCGCTGCCGCCCCAGGCCTGCCAACCCCACACTCACCCACCACTTATATACACACACACACACACATATATTTACCTGAATTTACCTGAGGGACACTAATACTAGTGGCCTCCGTAGGGACACGAAGCCAATGGCGTGTCAAATGTCCCCCTTATTTGCCCTGATAAGTCTCGCCTCAAAATATCACTAATGTAATCTCATCAACCCATTGTAACTTCTTGTAAAAATATATTTATAACTGCTACACTACATGTCAATATGTTCTGAATACCACTACAAAACATAAACCCACACCATCTCATCCCCCCATTATATATATATTTATATATACACACCAACAATTACCTTACGGGCTATTCATGCCCGTGTCAACCCGCAAGGCTTAATCTTTATCAATCAATCATCAACAATTACCGAGATAGTGAATATGGGCATAGCATGAAGACATGTAAATATGTCACCATCTAGACCAAATATATAATTAATTTTACATTTTAAAATTTTGCCCCGAGGGGCGAGTTTATTGGGCAGCGCCACTCATCCTGAGTGGACATCCCGCCATAGCAGCATGTATAACACTCCCCAATAGGAAGAAAACCCGCTGGGTTTTCCATATAGTTTATAACATAGTATTAAGACCTGCCCGAAACGCTACGCGTGCTAGTGGCTGTACAAGAATATAACCACTCATATATATATATATACACAAAAAAACTAGGTGAAACACATTAATCTGATAACATCAGCTGCATATGTAAGGTCAGTTGCTTAATTTACAAACTGTACTTGTGGTCTATCTCGAACCCATTGATGCTGTGACGACTTATACTGATTGTTGTAACTCGCTCATCAAGATTGTAACTTGCTTAGCTAAATGAATTGTGGGGTTCAGTCCCTGAGCCCATTATGTGCCTCTGTAACCCTTTCCACTACCGCCCACAAGATGGGTATGGGGTGCATAATAAATGAACTAAACTAACTATGTAAGGTCATGGTTAACATATATGTCGACTATAATTCAACAACTTGAGCAAGGAATCATTATAACTACCAATAGACCAGCCACCTTATATAATAAATACGGCAGCTGGCTGTGTATATAATTATATATATAATGTAATATTTATAATAAGATACTAAATATTTATTTATTTATATATTCAAGAAGGTACATTGGGTTTGTGAGATTATATACAATGGTAAATATATAATAGATATGGTAAAAATATTACAATTTTTAAGACCTCTACGAAGAAGGCTTCAGGGAAAATTTTAAAATTATAAATATGGAATTATTAATGTTTCTCTACGGCTTCACGGATAGTTTATTGTGCACCCCATACTCATCCTGTGAGTGGTAGTTTATTGTGCACCCCATACTCATCCTGTGAGTGGTAGTTTATTGTGCACCCCATACTCATCCTGTGAGTGGTAGTTTATTGTGCACCCCATACTCATCCTGTGAGTGGTAGTTTATTGTGCACCCCATACTCATGCTGTGAGTGGTAGTTTATTGTGCACCCCATACTCATCCTGTGAGTGGTAGTTTATTGTGCACCCCATACTCATCCTGTGAGTGGTAGTTTATTGTGCACCCATACTCATCCTGTGAGTGGTAGTTTATTGTGCACCCCATACTCATCCTGTGAGTGGTAGTTTATTGTGCACCCCATACTCATCCTGTGAGTGGTAGTTTATTGTGCACCCCATACTCATCCTGTGAGTGGTAGTTTATTGTGCACCCCATACTCATGCTGTGAGTGGTAGTTTATTGTGCACCCCATACTCATCCTGTGAGTGGTAGTTTATTGTGCACCCCATACTCATCCTGTGAGTGGTAGTTTATTGTGCACCCCATACTCATCCTGTGAGTGGTAGTTTATTGTGCACCCCATACTCATCCTGTGAGTGGTAGTTTATTGTGCACCCCATACTCATCCTGTGAGTGGTAGTTTATTGTGCACCCCATACTCATCCTGTGAGTGGTAGTTTATTGTGCACCCCATACTCATGCTGTGAGCGGTAGTTTACTGCGGACCCCCATGCTCATTCTGTGAGCGGTAGGGCAATTAATAATAATAATAATAATAATAATTTTTTGTATTTACAATACGGTACAATGGGTTGTGAGAATACATAAGATTGGTATTTTTACATCTTACAAAGCCAATAACACGCATAGCATTTCGGGCATTAATGGGAAATGGACACGTAATGGGGCAAAATTGCCTACAAATGCCAGTCATTGCACTAGTGGATGCAGCGGGGGGGGGGGGTCGAGGGGGGACCCATGCCGCCTTAAAGTGGGGGGCTCGTCCCCCATAACCCCCTTCATGAAGTCGATGAGCGGTTCTGGGGCGCGTAAATACGACTTCAGCGGGTAGGCGGTTCCATGGGTTCATATCCTTGGGAATGTCAGAAGTTGGTCTAGCGTCGGACAGATTTTTTGTTCTATTTGTAATTTAGATTGAAGTAATGTCTGAACTTAGGTCAACACTAAAGTATACCCTCAAACTTCTCAGGGAAAATGGGGTGACCTGTGACAAGCCGCCGGCTTCCTGTTCCCTTCGTGGTCACGAGATAGAGGGTGGCCCTCAGGTAAATTAGGGTAAATATATGTACACCGAGAAAGAAAAAAGTAGCTATGTAGGGTACATGAGTATCACTTCGCGTGTATGTTCCATAACATTATGTTCAAGTTCAAGGTCAAGTATGTTTATTGAGACAAGAAAAAAATACATCTCAAACGGATAGAGTAGCTTAGGCTATTTCTACCCCTAACATTATGTTATGATGAGTATTTTAAGTTAGAGTTGATTGAAATTGAAATTGAAATTGAAATAAGTTTATTGAGGTAAAATACACACAAAGGGATGAGGTAGCTCAAGCTATTCTCACCCCATTCAGTACAACGTGTTAATATATACATAGACACACATCACAAATAAACATATTATTTAGAGTTGATTGGTTTTTGTATTGAAGCTGGTATTTGCTCCCCTGATTCCTTGTATTACTAACCATCCTGTGAGATGGGAATATTAGATGAACTTAGAATATTAGATGAGCTAGTTTTTGATCTACACTGTAATCTTTCATACAGAATTGGGTATACCTGTGTATACCTAAGCTTGTTAATAAAAAAATGATGGGTATGTATATATGGGTGCTTAATAAATAAACTTAGACAAACTACAGCACTGATGAGCTAGTTACAATTTTTTTTAACCCATACATTAACAGTTTATTCATAGTTCTGATAAATTAACATCACATCGTGACCCCAATTAAGAGACCCATATGCCAATAGACTTTCCAATTTGGAAACTGTGTACAGTGGATTAGTGTACTCTGTCTTCCATAAATCAACTTCATATATATTAAATTAAAATATCATTATTATTAGTCAATCATTTATTAACATAATAAGTTAACGGTCATCATATGCCGTTAGAAGTTGTACATCTCATATTGAAAACTTTAAGGAAAATGTCGATGTTTGTTTTCTGTTGGTACCTTTGACAACGTCCGATTCACCTAATGTAGTTCTCATAGTAACAAAGATAGCCTAGTTTTGGAAGACTAAATCAAATAAGATTAACATTGAAGCTATAGTATGTAAATATAAAAGTTAATGGCTAAGTAGCTGTTGGAGGATCATTGAATGTAACATGTATTAGAGGGTTGGCTGGCCATGTCTAATTGTACTCGGACGCGCTCCTTCTCCTACTCAACCCAAGACACCCAAGTCCTCAACAAAATATAAAACAAATGTCGAAGTTGAACACTTATACATTGATTACTTACCAAAGTCTTAATGAATGAAACATAAACCAAAAAAATGCGTTTTCTATCGTTATAAACAAGATAGTGTTTATTATTTGCGTTTGTATATTTGGCTATGTCTTGTTCCAGCAATACTTTTCATCAGATGATCCATGGTTGACCAAGTTTATCATGGCTGAAAGTGCTGATGAAGAAGCATAATGTGAAGACTATTAGGGTGTCGTTTAGTCTTCCCCTACGGCCGTGTAGGTGGTTTGGTAGAGTCTTGAGTGAGTGATGGGGTCTCAGAGTGTGGAAATATTGCGCCAAGGAATATGGGCGTCGCTCACTGGAGGCTGGTTCTACGACCCACATCAGGATGTCTTCTGCAACACCTTCCACCTGTATTTATGGCTGTACCTGGTGTGCGCGCCTTTCTCCATATACCTGGTGAGTGTCTGTCCTAACCTGCCAGGGAGTGAGATTGCCAGGGTGTTCATGAGACGTGAGGGGCCAGGAATACCTCACACCTCACCTCACAACTCTCACCTCAAGAGTTTTCAAGAGTCGTGTTGTTACTTGAGGTATTTGACATATATTTTAACTTAGGGGTAACCCTTGTGGACTGTGCTACAGTGAGGGTTACAGTGTGGTGTAGGTGTGCTGGGTGATGCAGGCGTCAGCCCTCAGGACCTGCAAATTCCTTTCCAAATTCCTAAATTAAAACTAAACGGACAAACATCAAATTTTCTTTTAATGAAGCTCGGATAGGATTATAATTGTTTTTTTTTCTGTTTGATATACTTCATTTATCATAATTCCCAAACCTGTCCTGTGAAGATCTAGTGAAACACATTAGATGTATATAAATGAAGAACTGAACTTTTAAGTTTTTTGGCAAAACTAGTTAAAGCTTTACATAAACATCAAGAGACTGTTTACAGTTTATCAAACAAATGTCATTATGATCATATGAGCCCCTAATATCACTTAATTTATTTATTTATTTATGCATATACAAGAATGTACATAAGGAATGTGAGGATACAATTATGGTAATTACAGTCTTGTAAAGCCACTAGCACGCACAGCGTTTCGGGCAGAAACTTAAGTTTAGTGTAGTAAAATATCCTTTATTAATATCACTATAGTCTTGAAAATAAAATAGTTTTGTAATATTGTACTTTAATTTAGTGCAGTTAATTTGATATACAAAATGTTTACTAATACTGAAGTAGATAGAAATTTAATGCCTAGTGTAGTCCATATAAAGTATTTGTAAATTTTTGGTTGGAACATGTGCACTGATAGAATAGGCTAGGATAGAAGAAGATATTCTTTTTATATTCAGACTTGTGGGTTGTGTCTAATTTTCAGGCACGTTATTGTCATTTAGTGTCTGCCTAGGGTAGGATAGGCCAGGTTAGGTGTGTTGACTTGCCACGAGTTCCATTTTCTCCACACCAGAAAATGAGATTTTTCTTGCATCAAATAACGTGGTGGTGGGTAAAGTCTTGGGTAATAACCATAAACAGTATAATACTATTAAGCATTAATGTTCCCAGAAATTTCTGATGGCAAATACAAATATTTATTTAGGTAAAGTACATACATACAAGGTGAAATACACAAGTTGATGGATTTATAGATAGAGCTAGTACATACAATGCCTAAAGCCACTATTACGCAAAGCGTTTCGGGCAGTATTTCGGGCAGTTAATATGAAAAGACCGAGTTAAAGCAAATGCTATACATGGCAGACAAATGATCAAACAAAGGATTAGATCCACATTTCTCAACTGCAGGTCCATGGAACCCTAAGGTAACCAGGGGTTCTGCAAGAGAGTGATAAGTAGGCTAATTCTAATACGTAAATGTATTTTTAAGTGATTTTTGGGTTTATTTTTCACATTTAGTCAGTGTTGAGCAAAGACAAATCATAGTCTTTCAGTTGACAATGAAATCTGTGTGTGTGTGTATTTAAAGTATGACCCAGAAATATTTCAAGGATACGAAGGTTGAGAAATGATGAAAAAAAAAGAAAATATGTTTCGGGATGCGAATTTTCGGTTTACAAGCTGTCTCTGGGAATAGATTAAATTAAAAAGCCAAGGTACCACTGTACTGTAGTGAGGTATCTTATCTTGAGGTTATCTTGAGATGATTTTGGGGCTTTAGTGTCCCCGCGGCCCGGTCCTCGACCAGGCCTCCACCCCCAGGAAGCAGCCCGTGACAGCTGACTAACTCCCAGGTACCTATTTACTGCTAGGTAACAGGGGCATTTAGGGTGAAAGAAACTTTGCCCATTTGTTTCTGCCTCGTGTGGGAATCGAACCCGCGCCACAGAATTACGAGTCCTGCGCGCTATCCACCAGGCTACGAGGCCCTACGAGGTACAGGATTTTCTTTTTTCCTCCATTTTTTATTTCCACTTCATTCAAGTTCAAGTTCTAATAAGTTTAGGGAGATACATTTAATAAAATTTATCATTTATTTTTATTTTTATCAAAATAAAAATTTAAAATATCCCAATTTGATAAATTAGCTTTGGCCATCTCTACCCTCCTCTCTCTTACCATTACATTCCCAATAAATAAAATGTGCTGTTTCCAAATAATACATTGGTACCTTAGTTTTTAATTTAATCTGTTCCCAGAGATGGCTCGTAAACCATAAATTCGCAACCCGAAATGAATTTTCCCATAAGAAATAATGTAAATTGAATTAATCCGTTCCACACTCCCAAAAATATGAATCTCAAAATACATTTCATATATAATACACACAAATATTTTGTACTATAATATGTACAAGTTATAGCTTACCTTTATTGATGACTCTTGTTGGTGTATGGAAGACGGGAGCCGGCCGGCCGAGAGGACAGCACGCTGGACTTGTGATCCTGTGGTCCTGGGTTCGATCCCAGGCGCCGGCGAGAAACAATGGGCAGAGTTTCTTTCACCCTATGCCCCTGTTACCTAGCAGTAAAATAGGTACCTGGGTGTTAGTCAGCTGTCACGGGCTGCTTCCTGGGGGTGGAGGCCTGGTTGTGGACCGGGCCACGGGGACACTAAAAGCCCCGAAAACATCTCGAGATAACATCTCAAGATAACGGTGAGGAGGGGGGGGGGGGAGGAGGAGAGGTGTTAGTGTTTGGAAGGGAAGTCCCGTTCCATTATAACATCGGGCAGTGATGACATGTCTGAGGTATTCTCTCCCCTACATTTTGCCTACATACCACTAGGACCTTGGTGTGGTTCACTGCTTGTTTGTCTCCCTAAGAACCGTTCCGTAGAGACATGTGTTTCCTCTTTGGTCATCCTCACATGTGTTTCCTTAGGTTGAATCTTACCACCGACTTTCATGGGACCCATGGCATTGTATATAATAATTACTTTTATGTTTATAAACCCAAAAAACTGAAAAACAATGAAATTCTTTTAAAGACTTCAAGCGCAGTCATCACTAGGCTGGAGGCACTGGTAAACTGAGGAGCGGTTGCCCGTGCCACCAGGAACTATGCGCTTGGTCGACCCATACATGCATCAACAAGCTCACAAAGCGAGGCAAAGCTTGTAACCCCCAAAATTTGTAAAGAGGGAAGTTCATTACCCAAGCTTCCACTGTACTGTATTCACATGAAAGATCATTCTTTCATTCTGTTCAAAAGTGTTGTAGTGTTTGGTGTCTTTAGACAGTGTATATGGTCTAGAACCATCAAATACAAGTTACCATTAAACAGGGGCCACATGCTCTGACGACCAGGAGGACAGTTAGGTGTGGCTTATGAAGCCCTTCTGCTAGCTGAAGGATAAAAACCAGTCCAAATGTGTTTCATCTTGTTGGGATTAACTTTCTGGTCCTGTTGAGCCATGGAGCCCTATCCCCTCTAGTTAGACTTCCTGTTTAGGAATTGAGCAAAGATTTTTTCCTTGCCCAAAGTTTAGAAGAATCTTGTGTTTTATTAGGCATCACAGATCTCATTATTCAATAACTATGTAGTTAGCAGTACTGTACTAGTACATACAGTGTTCAGTATTAATAAAAAAACAATAATTGTTATCGTTTTTTCTTGTGTCTTCAGTACTGTGGATGGTCGGTGGCAGGGTGGCTGGCCCACCTTGTGCTGCTATCGATGGTAGTGGTAGGCATCAAGGTTATGAACCACCTCCTCCACCACATGTTTGACACAACTGACTGTCTGGAAGAGGAACTCACACCTGCTGTTCCTGCTGCCACGAACAACGATGTCTCTACACCCGTCCACTATCCAAATTCGGCTGCACCAGCTCAACAGATGAGGCAAGTTTTGCTTTTGACTTAAGAATGCTTTGGCTGTATATATTTTATAGCAGAGTTGGATTTTTAAATGCATATATTGATGGAGGAGAACAAAATGATATATGTACCTATAAAGTGGGTGAGAATGACGATCTTGTGGACTTTTCACCAATATTTGTCCAAAAGTATGAGACTGAGGTTTGAAGTATTTGATATGAGATGTGAATTTATATATAAATGTACAGTAATATATGACATGAAATACTACACTGTAGTTAGAATAATTATGAGATCACTAAAATGGATTATTACAGTATCCCTACCATACGATAATTATTATCCTGTATCACTATTGTGTCTGGAGTGGTGTACACTTGTCGGAAATGGTCAAAATAACTTAACCTATCTAAATAAGCCTATCCAAGCAATCTTGTCTCAAGTAAAGTGAAAGGTGAGAGAAATGCAAAGTTTAATGCAAGCACCCATAAAGGAGAGTTGAAAAACCTGTCTCATTGTTCATTATATGTGGAGTTGTGGATTGCCTAATGCCATTCAAACATGCTCCCTTGCTTCCCTGCCTTTCCGTTTCATTGACTACCTCCATTTGTTTCGTTGTAACCCATAATCAGTTCAATCTCGCTGTTTTATCCTAAATTAAAAATGTTTGAATAAGTACCTGTTTATTGTTTAAGTAATATCAGGGGTATAAACTACAACAAATTGCTAGTAACAAGTGGTGAAGGACTGCTCTATGTGAGGGTGTCTGGAGGTGGTCACTTACACTCCAAGACTGAAAATGGCCAACAGTGTCAGACTATTGTTCTTTAATGTTTACATAAGATCTAGCATGAAGTAAATTTATCCAAGTTATCTCACCCTAAACAGAGTGAAAGATGGTAGGAGTATAATGTTTATTTGCGAGAGTATCCTTAAATATCTTGGGAAAAGTTGTGTGGCCTCGATTGGCCATATGTGCCGAGGAGGGAGGATCTGTCAGAGGAAGCAGAGGCGGCAGGTGGCTGCCTCAAACCTCAACTTCACTCTCCCAACTTGCCTCTTCATTATTTACATTTAATCTATACATCCATGATATTTTATCATTAAGTATGAAATATAATAAGTGGGGAAGTATGATGGTGATCCACTTAAAGAATGGCATGTAACAAAATAAGTTATAATTTGCCTTCTAGGGTAACGATACCTTTTGTATGTCTGAATTCTGCTTGATTATTGGTATAATTTGATTGATTTCATTTGACATTGATGACAATGATAATTATTGATTTGTAAATCTATCGGTATAATACACATTTTGTTCATACAGCTGTATGGATATTGTTACGTATTTTCCAAGTGCATTGGTTTTAGTAGTATTCTCTGTAGTCATTTTTTAAAGTTGATTGATTTTGTATTTGCAGCCAGTCTTTTGAAGCAATAGAGATGCAAGTGGTGAGCAGTAAGGGTGGTGAAAGTGAGACCCCTCCAGTAGGTTGCAGCTCGCGCAATTCCATCATGGAAGCCCCCGGCACCCACTCCACCCAGCCTCCAGCAACCATAGGTGAGGCTGACACACCAGCTTGACACCTTTACCACTAACATCCCCCTCACGATTAGTAAATACTGTATGCACAAATTACAAAGTTTCCTTTATAAAATGTATCAAATTTATGATGTATACAGTTCTGTATGTATACAGTATTCACACACAAACATGGTTCTCATCCTCTAACTACACTTGATAATTACACATGGATGCACATGCATGTACAGACACAGCCTTTACCTAGCTCACTCTTAATGTAATGAATTGCACACTTATTTAAAAGTTAGTGTCTTTGGGTATTTGGCTGTGACTTGTGTGGGGACTGGTGAAATAGTGGTCCAAGTTAAACTGTGATTGGAGGAAATGCTTTAGTATTATTATTTTGCCTGAATTCTGTGAAAATCCAATTGAAAATTCTATTGCACTAATCCTATGAGAACTATTGCCATAAATTGGGTCACTTCTGCTACAGTAGCAACATTTGCTCATTCTTCAGGCATTGATGGTGTTCACTTCCCACTGTCACAGCTAGGAATATTGTGACTGGAAGTATGGCCTGATAATAATTAATACATATAAAAGTGTGGCAGGTTTGCCACTTTGCAAAGGATAAAGAAAAGTCAGCAGGGATACAAAGGATAAAGAAAAGTCAGCAGGGATAATCTTATCTATGAAATGAATGTACAATACAGTACAGTATAAATATTATTTATATCAAAGATGTGGCCAGCTACTGAGGAATCCAGATCTTGTGAAGCCAACTCTCCTTTGTGTTTGCTTTGTATTAATCCGGATAAAATACATTTTTATTTCTTTTATAGTGTATTATGTATGTTTTAAACCAAAGCTAATCTTATAAGTTATAAAGCCTTGTAATTTTTATATTATTGTACCATAGAAAGTTCTTGTATACAAGTAACAATACTGAATTTCCCTCATTTGCTGTTTGGCAATTTTAGACTTGAAGGCAGATGTGCACCACAAAGACAGCTCTGGGAGTGAAGAGGGAGCCAAGTGTGAAGGTGCGGCTTTGCCTGCCGCAGTCCGAGACGCCCCAGATGCCACAGGACGAGAGAAGAGGTTTAGAGGTACCGTGTGTTCGTTCCAGTAGCTCTGTTAACGGTAGAAGAGCTTATATTTACGAGATACGGCATCATATTTTTGTTACATATAGGGGGTGCCGGTCGGACAGCACGCTGGACTTGTGATCCTGTGGTCCCGGGTTCGATCCCAGGCGCCGGCGAGAAACAATGGGCGGAGTTTCTTTCACCCTATGCCCCTGTTACCTAGCAGTAAAATAGGTACCTGGGTGTTAGTCAGCTGTCACGGGCTGCTTCCTGGGGGTGGAGGCCTGCTCGAGGACCGGGCCGCGGGGACACTAAAGCCCCGAAATCATCTCAAGATAACCTCAAGAAGGGGTGTCTATTTCTGATGTGGACATACAGGTTCAGCATGCCTATTTCAAGTAGCCACTTAGCTAAGACATAAGGTACACCTCTATGGGATCTGATGTATAACATTGGTTGAACTCTCTCTCTTCAACTCTTGAGCAAATCATATAATAGTGGTGTGATGTCTAACGATCACACCATTATTACAATTCACCAATTATATACAATATATAATTATATATTGTGTTTATTAGTCATCCTTTGAAATTCAAAATGATGAGGCATGTTGCTAGTCTATGGAATATCTAATGCTAGCTTAAAGAAGAGGATATAAATACATTGCACTTTATTTAATGTTTTCTAATAAAACGGGGATAAATAGTTGTAAATATTCTCCTGAGCAAAAACTATGGCAGCGTAGAGCTGAGTAACATTAAAGATATGTGCACAATTGCAAATGGAATTGTGAGAACTCTTTAATTAAAGCAGGTCTAGTTTGGATGTATATTCTTTAAACATTAATAAATGCCCTACTTTTCAGCCAAGTGTTTCATCTTTCTCTTGAGTAGTCATATGAATGATTAGTTGTTGTTTCAAGCAGTCAAGATTGCAAGAGCATCTTACTGGTTGATAGTTCTATATCATGCTTAGACTAGAATCTTGTTTTTACACTCATTATTTTAATGTCTTAAATTTTAAAAGTGTAAATGACATTGATTAACTGTCATTAGTCTTTGAATACTGTATATCATCTCTACATTATGCTTGTAGTATCATCATGCTATAGAGGTCACACATACATACTGTACATTGCTGCAAAATATCCCAGCTCTGTAAATGACAAGGCTTTGACTAAAACAATATCATGAACTGGAATTATGAATGCTAGGTGATTTGAATGGTTTGCTTAAGTTGTGACAAAGGATACCATTATCCCTTTAAAGGTAGTTGTGATCATTTGGCATTACAGCAATGGAGATAAAACTAAGGTTTATGGTCTGTTTTAGAGGGTGGCAACAGTGTGGGAGCCGGACCATCGAGCAACAGCCGGGGTCTTTGCGTCTCGGAGGGCACATTGGCAAGTGTCTCCGAGATAACAGAATCCCTCAATCATCCCATTATTGCTAAACACTCCCAGGTCAGCTGCATCTTTATATTGTTGATGTTTAGACCTGTGATAATAAGATTACTCTTATCCTTACTCTATATGCTGTTTGAGATTGCACATATATTTATTATAGTTTTGTTTCAAATGTTTTGTCATTTTGATGATCAGACCACACACTAGAAGGTGAAGGGACGACGACGTTTCGGTTCGTCCTGGACCATTCTCAAGTCGACAATCGACTTGAGAATGGTCCAGGACGAACCGAAACGTCGTCGTCCCTTCACCTTCTAGTGTGTGGTCTGGACATCATACTTTAGCCACGTTATTGTGACTCATCGCCTGCTTTTGTCATTTTATATCAAATGTTTATATTCATCATGTTATTGACATTTAAGTCTTCTCAGTGCATATATAAAATACCTAATCCTAAAATACCTAAAATACCTAAGGTTTAAATAATTGATGATATATTTCTTGCCTTTCATTGGAAAGTCTCTTGGTTGGTGTGGTGGAGAAGAAGGCTGTGCATCTACTAGCAGCACCAACAAAAGTGGTAACAGCAGCACGCACAGCACTAACAGTAGGGGCCATAAACGTTTGAGGCGGAATGCAGCATCCTCTGGATCCATCACCACAACTTCTCTCTGTGATGCTCATTCTGTTGACATTGTATATTCCAAATGTGCCAAAGGTTTGTTAATTGTAAGTTATGTAGATTTATTAGCCATCTTCAGTAGGGATTCCTTTGGGCTTTCACAAGATTTATTTATAATTTCTTTTGACTTTGTGTAATAATTGAAGAATACCATTGTGGTTTGGCTTGAAATCTTGAACATTTGTATATTATAATGGCAGATTTTAAAACCATTTTAAGTATCATTGTGGGGGTTAGGTAATGCACCAAAATTTCTATACATATTGAGATGCACTAAATTTTAAAATGCTGTAATATTAAAGTTGCAATTGCATTGTAACAATTTTTCTGTTATTGTGTATGGTAAGAATTGTTCAAGCCATTATGTTTGAGTCAACCTCAAGATATACAACATAGCTTTATCTCGAATTGGATTGGACCTGTTCAGGTTTACTAATAATTTCATTCCATTGATCCTTTTGCTATTTTTTGTCTTTTAAAAATGTTCTGTCCAGGGGCCAGATTCACGAAGCAGTTACGCAAGCACTTACGAACCTGTCTGTCTTTTCTCAATCTTTGGCGGCTTTGTTTACAATTATTAAACAGTTAATGAGCTCCAAAACACCTGGAGGCTGTTTATAACAATAACAACAGTTGATTGGCAAGTTTTCATGCTTGTAAACTGTTTAATAAATGTAACCAAAGCCATCAAAGATTGAGGAAAGATGTACACGTTCGTAAGTACTTGCGTAACTGCTTCGTGAATCTGGCCCCTGGACTCTCCTGAAGAGCCTGGAAACTTATTTTGACTGAAGAAAAGAAGAGAGACTGAAGTCTCCTGAAGACTTATCTCAGAAGAGCCACTAAGACCTCCTGGTTTACTTCCTTAGGCCTGTTGTAAATGGAGGACTAGAATCAGGTCCTCACTGAGATGAGGGAAGCATGGAGCAAAACACTCTTAAGCAAAAATGTGTAAATAACCTGATAGTTGGCAGTGATAACTCTGTTCCAACGTCTCGATCACCACTATGTGGCAGCTGAGATCACAGAGGCTCTGCTACCATCACTCTCATTACCTTTGTCTCTCATTTGGAGCGTGTGTGACCATACTTTTGCTGAAGACCATCTATGTGGCTTTTGAAGCCAAGTGCTTTTGAAGCCAAGTGCTTTTGAAGCCACGTGCTTTTGAAGCCACGTGCTTTTGAAGCCACGTGCTTTTGAAGCCACTTCCAACAGCCTGGTTGACTAGACCATCAACCAGGAGGCCTGGTGAGAGACTGGGCCGTGGGGACCATGACCTCCGAAATCACTGCAAGGTATGTTAACCCAGCTGGTCCTCGTGGAGCTTCATCTTTGCAGGATCCAAGTTTGGAGCTACTCAATGGCTGGTGGATTTGGGCTCACAGTTGTCTTGCCCATACACTGGCCTGGAATCTTGTGCTTGCTCATTTGGACTGATTTGACTTTCTAGTCAAGTGTAGGATGTCTTGCTTGTTACTAATGCCGTCATGAACTTGACTGGGTTTGGTTTGGGACACTAGGATTCTCTCTCTAACACACTTTTCTTTTTCTGGAGTTATCCTTATTGCATCTATGTGACCATCTGCACCTTGTTCTGGGCAGGTGCTTTCTCAACCGCTTGAACTGTAGGAGGAGTCTGTTTGGCTTACCCTCTGAGGTGAGCTTAGCTGAAGGTTATGCTTCATCCTCTACACTTTTGAAGGTTTTATTGGTGCATGTATTGTCTAGTATTGCTCATACTGCATCTGTTGTGGATATTATGTTTCATCACTGGATTGTTTGAGATTGGTTTTCTTGGACCACTCCCACTGTCAACACTCCCCAGATGGTAGCTTCCTTGTGGTTTCTTAGTATGGCTCACTTTCAGGATGTTTTAGACATTCTCTTCCACCTCGGTCTGTTTTTTTTTAAGGATTGGTTTATACATGTGGTGTTTCATTGGCTTTGTGAGACATTTGGCCATCCTCGAGTTATTTTCTTCATGACTGCTTGGAATCATCAGCTTCCTCCTTATGCAATCCCATTTCATGCCAACTTGGCCTTTATAAGTTTTTACAAACCTAAAGGAACAGATGGCGAGATAGTCTTAATGTTTGGGTGCATAACACTTCATAATAATGATTACTTAAAATATTAAATAGTGTATTTTGCTTTATTGCAACACGCAATAGAGTAAGCAAGCAGGCAAGCACATGTCCCTCCATTCCTTATCAGAAATCTTTCCCGAGGGAGGCGGTTTCCCATTTACTTTACACCATTGTAAGTGGTGCTCTGACTCTTTTTGAGGGACCCTTGCTGATCTCTTCGGTCATGACTTTGGTCTTTAGCTGTAACTGCTTCTTTGCCTTTTGTCCTTTCAGGGTATTTCATTAAATTTGTTTCTAGTGGGCAGACATTCTCATTTCTGCCATTTTGAGTCTTGATGAGATTGGGCCTGGGTGCTCTTCTGTGATGTAGTAAGGCTCTCCTGCCTAGGCTACTTTCTTTGCATGGAATTTTAGACTTATGGCTACTGCAGTTTTGTTTCCTAGTGTTGGGTTACTAAATCTTATCTTACCTCACTCTAAAAGGTATCAGACCATTGTTGGTTCTCAACCATGGTTCCCAACTCTATTTGTACTTTGCATTGACTTTGTATTCCTGGTTCTTCTTATCTTGTAACATCTTGGCCACTGGTGCTGTGGGTGCATTTTGTCTGGGTTGTAAATATAGTGGTTGGCCTGCCAAACTTAGGCCCATTACCAGTTCCTGCTTCTCACTCTCATCCTCCAGTTGGAGTGTTTTGGTTCTAGTCTCCCCAAAGTCCTTCCATCGGGCTGCATCAGCATACCTGGATTACTACTCTTTCTGGCTCCTCTCTAGCCCAGGTAAGTACTTCTTACTTATATTATGTTTGTGTTTTTCTTCCTTTTGATAGTTGTCTCTGCTGTTGGGAGTTTTGCCTAGGGGAAAAATTGAATGGCCTAGCTCAGAATTAGGGCTTTGAGTATAGATGAAAAGCTCCTTTCTGAACTGGTCATTCAGTTGCTCCCATTCCCTCTTGTTTTGTCCAAACTTTCCTGGTTCTGTCGGAGTTTCATTCTGTTGATGTATATGGTGCTGACACCTGGTGGTCACCTGAGGTAGTGGCCTGATGCACCAAGTGGCATTTAGCAAGAGTGATGTGTGGTGCTTTCCTTAGTTTAAGTAGAACTTAGAGGAGGTTTTGAGTTAGATGAATGAGCCTTCTAATAATCATTTGGGGCTGAATAGAATAATCTTCAGTGTCTTCCTTTCCCTGCTGTCACCTGACAAATATATGGAAAGATTCCTGTCATAATGGAGTTAATGTTGAGTGTGTTTGGCTGTGGCTAATTCTGTTCTGGGAAAAGCAGGTTGTTACCCAAGGCATCTGCTGAGTGACTGACTCAGATAGAAGCATTTCATTTATATGTTGAGTCCTATTTTATCTTTTCCACTATGTATTACAGTACTATTATTTTTATATTTGAGTCAGTTGTAAACATTTCTAAGAGGTAAACAATGTACACCTGTGTAACAATAATGTAAAGGAGGTGCTTGTACCGCAGGAGAGAAGGCAAGCGGCGTCCATTATCGTGCCGGTATGCACCATGGGAGCACCTCGCTGGGGCTGGAAGGTGGGTCTGGAACAGCTGCTGCATCCTCTACTGCGCCTTCTCCTACCTCCCTGCCCTCTGCCGCTGAGCCACCTTCACATCCAGTCAGCCTTGAGGTAGTCTACTCAGAAATTAGTCTGTAGAACTTCATTGTTTGCTGCTGCTATGTTTTTTTTTTTTTTTATTCTCCAATTGCAACTCTTATTTGTTTACCTCAATTGTAACTTCATAGTCTACTTCATATGCAACATATTTGTCAATGCAGTTTGGATTGTGCAACTCCCTAGAGAATGAAAGTTGGATGTTATCCTGACAGATGTTAATTACCAGACTGAAAAATTTACATCTCCAGTACTGGAACATGAAATGTACATATTCCTTAAAAGAATCTACAGATGTAAATGAGATAAACCTTGGTTTGGGTATCAATGTACAGTTATAGCTGATGAGAAGTCAAAGCCTGGAATTGCCATAAAAGAAGATTAACCCTCTGATATACGATGCTTTGATATTTCGAGAAAACATATGAAACAAATACCCAAATGTACTTTGGATAGGTGGCATGAGGCCCTTTAGCAGCAACTTATCAGGTGGATCAGTGGCCAGTGAAATTTAGTTAGGCATAATAATAACGAGGACCAGCACCTGATGACTTGGTGTCACTTGTAAACACGTGTCATGGCTTTGTAGTTATAATGTTTTGTTTTACAACTGTGACCTTGACTGGGATTGCTTTATATCCCTGACCTTTGGTCAGCACTGCTTCCATATGCCTTGGGGATGGCTTAAAGTACATTTTGTGAGGTGTGTTCTCTACACTTAAAGAAGTGAAACGCTTTGCGTAATAGTGGCTTTAGGCATTGTATATACTAGCTCTATCTATAAATCCATCAACTTTTGTATCTTACTTCGTATGTATGTACCTTACCTGAATAAAATTTATTTATTATTATTATTATTATTATTATTATTAGTAAGTGGAAGTAATTTGTCCATTCTAGGTAATCATAGGCGATGACGCGAGCAGAAGGCAGCACCAGCACCATCGTCACCACCACAGCAGACATCACCATCATCAACCGCACCACCGCTTCCATCAGCACCCTCCCCACCACCACAACCGCAAGATGTCTCTGGCACCTCCGGCTTGTAGCCGGGAACCAAGTAACATATCTGTCATCGAGGAGAGAAACAACAGCTGTGATACAAACACTGGGGGCTGCTGTGCTGTCAACAGGTACTGTCCTCTCTAGATAGTACTTACAGTAACAATGTTGATCATCACACATATATTGACGTAATGGACAATTAGGATTTGGTACTATTGAATTTGGACAAACCAAAAAAGTTTTGTATTTATGTTGCTGATGAAACAATCTAACGTTGATCAGACCACACACTAGAAGGTGAAGGTACAACAACGTTTCGGTCCGTCCTGGACCATTCTCAAGTCACAATCGACGAGAATGGTTCAGGACGGACCGAAACGTCGTCGTCCCTTCACTTTCTAGTGTGTGGTTTGGTCAACATATTTCAGCCACGTTATTGTGACTCATCATTTGCTCATCATGTCGCACTGCCAGAATATACTTTTTAGTAGCTGCTATTTAAATGATTCATTGTGACATTCGAGCATAATACCGTCCACTGTGTTCAAAATTACAATCTATAGAATTTAAACTATGGCAGTGTACCATAGTAAAATGAAATACCACTAAATTGAGTCATTTGATTTCTTCTGCTGCATCTAGAATTCAGTTAAAACAAGACTTGTTTTCACCATTTATTATCTCGTATATTTTTATATATTTATATATTTTTTATTAGTACTAGCAGTAGAATATGATTAGATCCACAGTGCATTATTTTTATATAAAAATACAATATATTGATTGGTAAATTGCAAATGTTTCAAAATATAACATAACAATTCAGCTCTTCCTTAGTTGTAATCATAATTGTTCATGAACAAGTCATTTACACTAATATACAAAATATATTAAGTTATGAACATCATAGGTCCACTGCTCTTTAATATCCTCAGAACAAATATAAGAAATATTCCTGGAACAAAAGTGAACATTTTAAAGAAACAACTATTTGGTAGATAGTTTTGTACAGGAAGTGTGGGCCTGCAGGCTGTTCGAAGCAACAGCCTGCTAGATAAACTACTATAATTACAAGACAAGGGCCAGGCTTAGGGAATAGAACTACTCCCAGAAACCACACCACCAGGTAATCTCCAGGGGCCAGATTCACGAAAGCACTTATGCAAGCACTTACGAACGTGTACATCTTTCCTCGATTTTTGACGGCTTTGGTTACATTTATTAAACCGTTTACAAGCATGAAAACTTCCCATTCAATTGTTGTTATTGTTATAAACAGCCTCCTGGTGCTTTGGAGCTCATTACCTGTTTAATAATTGAAAACAAAGCCGCCAAAGATTGAGAAAAGATGTACACGTTCGTAAGTGTTTGCGTAAGTGCTTTCATGAATCTGACCCCAGGTATACTCCAGGTATATGCTGAGAGCAGCTGGAGTATAATAAAAAAGTTTCAGCTGTAAGGACAAAAATAAAGTGTGATTTCTGATTTGATGCATATGGTGCCTCAGTGACATCATTGAATGACCAGTGACATCAACACAAATGAAAGAGCATTTAGTGATTATGCTGGTGGTATTTGCCAATCATAGCTCTAATTGGCCTTGCTCATGTCAGCCCATACTTCAGCTTCACTGGTGTTGATAGGCCACGGCAAGCCTTGATCTTCAGAAGTAGTTTTGACAAAATAAAAACAAAATACTGTATAAAAATAATAGTAAGGTGAGATGTAAAGTAAAAATTAAGTTATACTGTACAGTATAAACAATTGGATAAATTAATGGTATGTGCTAAGTAGGGTTTTTATAGTGCTGTCTTTTCTTGGCAAGCTGAATCATATGGGGTCCATCCCCATTCTTGTTAGTTGAATATTCAACTTGCCAAATTTCTTATCAGGAATATCTAAAAATTAAATTTGCAGCATTTTGTGCCTCAGCCAAATTTTGTAGGGTTACCTGGGTTACCTTGAGTAGTGAGCTCTGTGAACTCTGTGTTTTAAAATGCTGATGTAGTAACAAATATTCTTTACAAGTATATTGCTTATTATGTGAGTTTAATTCTTTACAGTGAGGGTGAAACGGATGAAGAGGGCCCTAACAAAGGCTCCCACTCGCCTCTGTTGACACGACATCAGAGTCTGGAAGGGAAGAGTTCGGGGGGACGCAGAGTTCGCTCCGGCAACTCGAGGCTGGCACCCACCCCTCGGAATTCCGGTCGTGCGTACCAGCCTCTGGTGTTTCGTAGCAGCTCTGCCATAGCAAAATTTCGAGATAAAACGAAAGTAGAAGGGGACAATTATAAAGTGTGCACGCTCACGTTTGAAAATATTTATGCAGATGATGAGAGTAGTTCAGATACATTAAGTGTTGTGAAACTGTCCAGCAGCTCTGATGAAACACTAAGTAGTGTAGCAGATCAGTTAAGTCTACATAGACAGTCTTTAGGTAATCTTGACTGTGATAATGTAAACTCTAAGTGCAGTGGAAATGGGAACTGTGGTGAATCTGTGGAAGACGAGGAAAATAAGGATGAAAACTCTCACCATAGAAGTAGAGAGGAAGTTGTTGTAGATTTAGAAGATGCTCCTACCATTCCACAACATGCTGGAGAAGATACCTCAGTAGTGATTGATGAACATAGGACACAAAGTATGAGAAATTCAAATGAACTACTTGTAAGTGATACTATTGAGAGTAGGTCATCTAGTCCAGGTTTAGACTGGCTCTTTTCACACAGTGATTCAGATTCTGAATTTGCTGATGTCGCTCGTGCTCCCGGTGAACGCAGTGACCAGAGAAGGCGCTCTTCTCAACAAAGTGATGAGGATAGCTGGAATATTATTTGGTCCTCGCCAGAAAGTCCTACTGAAACATGCGCTATTTCTTATCCACATCCTGCCACCCAGTGTGCTACATCTTGTCAGGGGGCCATTCCTAAGAAACGGAGACAAGGTGTAGTTGTAGAAGAGGTAGAATCTAATGGAGGAGGTGATCGAGGAAGCAGAGAAGCGTCTGTTACTATGGAAGACCTGGTTAGACGACTACTAGACATCCTAAACAGTTCTCTACATGATCCTCAGCAGTGTCATCGGGATATTCAAAAACTTGTGGTTCTAAAACAAAGGTTAGAACAGGAAGGGGGTATTGGGGAAGCTATCAAAGGTGGACAGGGGTCACTGACTAGCCCGGGGACCTCAGAAAATGCGACACAAAGTAACAAACCTGTTGAGAAGCCGGTAGAATCACACTTGTACAGGAAGCCAGCGGTTCGTCGGAGAAGACATGTAGCAGGAAATGCAACATCACCACCCACCTCTCCCAGTGACCCTCCCGATATTTCTTCGTTACTCACTACTACGTTAACTACTTCTCTCACCACCACCTTCACCACCAGCCTCACCACTACCCTCTCACCAGCATATCAACAAACCCACAGGAACCATTTATCACAAGTGAGTCTTTTTGCACCATATCTTCCTGAATAATTGAATGAACATAAAAGTATCTTATTAATGTAAATTATCTGAAGTTTGCAGTGGCTATTTAAAGAACTTTAAGCTTAAAGTAATAAAGCATTACTCTAATGTTTCTGTGGAAACTGCTCTACTTATGGTTGAATAGAAACTTCATTATGAACAATGGTGTACCTGGGGAAGTGTTTACTATGTAATATACATTAACTATTGTTAAATGTTAATCAAAATTTATATAGCAATGAGTGCATGAGAATATATGGTATTAATGACACATGCTGCTATGGCGGTATGTCCACTCACAGGATGAGTGGTGCTGCCTAATACTGTCACTATGGCGGTGTGTCCACTCACAGGATGAGTGACGCTGTTCAATACTGTACTGTCACTATGGCGGTGTGTCCACTCACAGGATGAGTGACGCTGTTCAATACTGTACTGTCACTATGGCGGTGTGTCCACTCACAGGATGAGTGGCGCTGCCCAATACTGTCACTATGGCGGTGTGTCCACTCACAGGATGAGTGGTGCTGCCCAATACTGTCACTATGGCGGTGTGTCCACTCACAGGATGAGTGGCGCTGCCCAATACTGTCACTATGGCGGTGTGTCCACTCACAGGATGAGTGGCGCTGCCCAATACTGTCACTATGGCGGTGTGTCCACTCACAGGATGAGTGACACTGCCCAATACTGTCACTATGGCGGTGTGTCCACTCACAGGATGAGTGACGCTGCCCAATACTGTCACTATGGCGGTGTGTCCACTCACAGGATGAGTAACGCTGCCCAATACTGTCACTATGGCGGTGTGTCCACTCACAGGATGAGTGACGCTGCCCAATACTGTCACTATGGCGGTGTGTCCACTCACAAGATGAGTGGCGCTGCCCAATACGTACTGTCACTATGGCGGTGTGTCCACTCACAGGATGAGTGGCGCTGCCCAATACTGTCACTATGGCGGTGTGTCCACTCACAGGATGAGTGGCGCTGCCCAATACTGTCACTATGGCGGTGTGTCCACTCACAGGATGAGTGACGCTGCCCAATACTGTCACTATGGCGGTGTGTCCACTCACAGGATGAGTGACGCTGCCCAATACTGTCACTATGGCGGTGTGTCCACTCACAAGATGAGTGGCTGGCGCTGCCCAATAAACTCGCCCCTTGGGGCAAAATTAAAAAAAAAATTTAAACGACAATAGTAAGTGTATGTATTTTAGGCTGTTGTTGTATTGCATTATGGAGTTCACTGTATCCTACAAACTCTTGATCTTTTCCTTCTATTATAAAACTCCGACCTGCATGAAGTGAGATCGACGCTCTACCATCCAGCCCAAGTTAACATTACTGCATAACAGTGTAAGGAAAGGCATTGAGAGAGCTTTTGAATCATTGCACATAATCAGTTATGATAATCATCAGTTATTATTATTATTATTTACAATAATCATCAATAAGTGATCACCATTATCTATGTAGACAATAGTACATTATGAATTGACTTCATTAATATCACTTGTTATCATCAATCATTATTGATAAACTCCATGTCAATCATAATCATCAATTCATGATTGTAAGTCATCTTTTCCATTGTCTTGGTTTGGGGAATTTTCTGGTATTGATGAAAGTTTAGTTTAAGTTTTCCGTTTTGAGCGTGACATTGTTGACAGTTTGGCTGAGAATAGGCAGTATGTAAGTTGTGGGAGGGGGAGAATAGGGAAGGCAACTAGTCATTGAGGTTGATGAACTATGTATAAATCCAGGATATTTATAATACTGTATACTGGTGTATACTATAAATGTTTTGTATTTTATAAATATTGTGATGTAATGAAATGCATATTTTGCAGAGGTCTAGTGATTTTCCACTTCGAGCAAGGAATACAGGGGAAGGTGAAGATGAAAGCAAGCTGCGCCGAACTACGGTTGAAAAGAAGTTTGAAGGTGGAGGAAGTACGTCTATATTTTCTGGCAGTTCGTCATTAGCAGATGGTGGCCCTCCCCTGTCTGCACTGTCTTCATTATCTTCCCCTGGAACTCATCTTGCAGTGTCTCATGAGGACACAAGTGATGGAGCTGTCCACTGTTTTCAAGATGAAAGAGGAAACTGGTTTACTTATACATTTAATGACAGAGGAGTGAGCACAGCTTCTAGTGTCGTGCCCGTGAGTGACAACAAAGTTTTGACAAAGCTCTTGCGACGAACAAGCAACAGCCTTCAGGGGCCTAGTCAGAACAGTTGTAATCAAAGCACCCCTGGAGGACTGACGCGGGGTGATGGCTCACTCAGCAGCTCCTCCATGTCTCTTTGCTCAGGTCTTACTGTTATTCTAGATAACCATTTTCCACCTGCTTCCCTGCCATCTGCCTGGCCAGAGATATGCAAGGCACCTAGTTTGGTGTCGCCTATATCTAATCCAGCCAATAGTTCAGCGGTAGTGCCAGTGACGTCAGGTGTACGTAGAAGAGGGTCTTCTCCCCCTGTTTCAAATGCTGCTGTTAGTTTAAGAGATCAAGATAGAAGCAACCAAGATGGCTCCAGTGACCCTGATCCAATACCCAGAGTAACGGTGGGCCCCAGAAGTGGTCGGGATCTGCCTCTGTTGTCTTCTGAAACACGTCATCATTTGCAACTTCTAAGTATAGGGGCACCTCATAATCCCCTACAGCTATTCACAAATGCATTATTTGAGCGTAGACGCTCCAGCAACCGTCCGGGCACAGTTGCAGGTTCCATCATTACCTCCGAGGCCTTTGAAAACATTAGTTTGCCTCAGGGGCTTGACATGGATGTAGACCTTGGACTGTCGTCAAACAAACTCAAGTTTCCTGTTACAGTACCACAAACTATACAATATTACAAATTTAGAGTTTGCGGAAAAAAATCTATTAAGATAAAGTTTGACAGACTCTTTTTATTAGCTTTATTAGACAGAAATGTTACAATATTAGAAAATCTGATCTGTATTTTTCTTGCCATTTTTGTAAGCATTTTAGGATGTATGATTCTCCAGAAGGAATTCTACCAGGAATTAAATGTTTTTATTTTTTGTCTTGTAATGGCAAGCTGTCAATATTCTTTATTCAAGAGTGTACAACCAGATGCAGCATCTCCCACCCATGGCTACAATCGTGTTGTTCTTTACAGCAGACCAGTGTACTTCATTATATGTTGCAGCATCATACTTCTTATACAACTATACTTAGATACCAGCCATGCATGGCCAAAATTTATCCTCTATGGAATTGACTTTACCAATCGAGTGATGTTGAAACAGTGTAGAGACTTATTATTGCTATTTATGCTGTTTTTTCCTCTTATCTTCAGCTTGGGGCTCCTGCCTCAGGTGAATACCTTCCTAATGTACCTTTTAGAACAGACAGACATCCACATATTTGGTGGTAATGCAACCACCAGCCTTACCTCAGCTCTGTATTGTGTGGGTCGTTCAGTTCTCACGGTGCTCTTCCTGTTTGGTTTTGCATATGGTGGACTTCGAGAGCAAGTGGCTCAAACTCAGCATATTCTGTATTCCATATTCTGTGGTCTGAATGTTGCTTTCAGCTATCACCTAAGTCGCTCGGCATCAGATCCCACCACACTCTGGCGCTTGATCCAGCAACACATGTGGCCAGAAGAACTGCGGCGAGAGACGAACACCAGCAATCCTCAGCCTCCGCAAGAAGCAGATGAACTCACCGATCCACTTCCGGAAAAGTTGCGCAACACCGTTCATTCTCGCTTGGTGCACGATGCCATCATTTGTACTGTGATGGCTGTGGCAGTGTTTGCTGTGCACTCTAGTACTGTGTTCACAGTGCTCTTAGATGGTGAGAGCCCTGATCTTTTCACAGCACTTTGGATATTTGCCAGTCTGTTTGGTTTTTTTAACCACTATGTAATACCACAGTTAAGAAAGCAGTTACCATGGTTGTGTGTGGCACATCCTGTGTGTAGAACTCACGAGTACAGCCAATTTGAAGTGTATGATGCTGCCAAAATTATGTGGTTTGAAAAAGTGTATGTGTGGTTGTGTATTTTAGAAAAGAATATTGTATATCCTGTACTATTTCTCTGTGCCTTAACCAAAGATGCACCTACACTGGTAGAAAGATTTGGTCTCAACACTGGAACGTTGATTACCGTGATATGTGGCGTCAAGTGTCTGCGTAGTGTATATTCACAGCCACAGTTTCAATACCTCATATTGGCATTTGCCAAGCTCTTTTTCAACTGGGATTTTAAGGGGAAATCTGAAACATTTTTGGTGGACTACTTTGTGATGGGGATAATTTTTACCAGAGTATATGAATTTCTTCTAAAAATGAAGTTTATAGTGACATACATAGCTCCCTGGCAGATCACCTGGGGATCTGCTTTCCATGCATTTGCCCAGCCATTCAGTGTGCCCCATTCAGCCATGTTGTTTGTACAAGCTGCAGTCTCTGCGATCCTGTCCACACCACTCAACCCAATCCTGGGCTCGGCCATCTTCATCACCTCCTACATCCGCCCTATTAAATTTTGGGAGCGTGACTACAACACAAAACGGGTGGATCACTCCAACACGCGGCTGTCATCTCACCTTGAGCGGAATCCAGGCTCGGATGACAACAACCTCAACTCTATATTCTATGAGCACCTTACACGATCTCTTCAGCATTCACTTTGTGGAGATCTACAAATGGGTAAGAGTAATTAATCTTTCATATACATTGTGTGTGCATGTAATAACAAAGTGTAGTTACAGGATGAGAGCTATGCTCATGGTGGTTTGTCTTCCCAGTATTGTCATACTACTATTGTCTTCCCAGTATTGTCATACTATAATGCTAAATCCCATAACATTGCATTTATTCATATTGAATTCCATTTGCCACTTGACGCTCCAAGCACTTATTTCATCTAGATCAATTTGAAGGGCATTACAATCATCTGCATCTCCTATCTTCCCCAGTATCTTAGCATCATCCGCAAACATGTTCATATAATTCTGTATTCCTTCTGGTAGATAGTTTATGTAGACATGAACATTACTGGTGCAAGAACTGAACCCTGGGGTACTCCGCTAGTAACACTCCTCCAGTCAGATACATTGTCTGATTACCGCCCTCATCTCTCTGTCAGAAAATTTTTCATACATGTCAGAAATCTCCAAGAACTAAGCCACTCCATGTCAAGTGGCTCAGTGCCAGCAGGTCCCAAGTGCTCAGTGCCAGCAGGTCCCAAGTGGCTCAGTACCAGCAGGTCCCAAGTGGGTCGCCAGATGCTGGTTATAGAAATTTGCTCACTCTTGTCATTTTAAATCAACAAATTCTGGAGCTAGGCTTGGATCAAAATCGCTCTGAACACACACACACGGGTCGTGTTAGACCTGATTTCAATAGGATTGAAGAAAGCTTGTCAATTAGCTATTTTTTCGTGACATTAATTGTAATTCTAAATAGTATCCAGTTGGGTGTCTCGTTGCTTTTGCTGCTGACTAAATAGTAGTTGCTTTATTGTCCTGTAGACTTGCTATCCCATTATATACTGTATATCGCTCATTCTTAAGTTGCATTTCCTAACAATCAAGCTGACATTCTGGCTAAGTTTGAGCTGCCAGTGATAAAAGAGCTGATTGTGTTTGCTGGATATGGGATTTCATTCAGACAAAAGGATATCATTCTTTTGTGAATTATTTGTTAGTGTTGGTGTGGACACGAGGTCAGGTAGAAGATTGCAATCAGTACGAGGATGGACCCCCAAAGATATGTCTTAACATTTCCTCCATTTACAATTAAGCTTAACAAGGACTGCATTTTTTTAGGTTCCATAGTTCTCATCCATACAAGTTTAAACATTGACTGTTTAGTAACTTAACTTTTGACCAGGTATCAAGATGACAAAATTCAATCATAATGAAATTTATCATGGAAGTAGCAAAAACATGAATTTGTATTTTAATTTTGACTTGAAATAATTTTATTTGCCACAACTTTTGATAGATTAACACTTTCCTATTCCTAAAAATTCCTAATATTCCTAAAAATTGTTTACATTACAGGTCGTTGGGGAGCTGCAAGCCAGGGAGACTGCTTTGTTCTAGCATCAGATTATCTCAATTGTTTAGTCCACATAATTGAGCTCGGCAATGGTCTTGTAACATTCCAAATGCGTGGACTAGAATTCCGTGGTACTTATTGTCAGCAGCGAGAAGTGGAGGCCATTTCTGAGGGAGTGGAGGAAGATGTGGGTAAGTTGACGTGTCTTGCCTGCTGTGAGATCACCATCTTGAGGTTATCTTGAGATGATTTTGGGGCTTTAGTGTCCCCGCGGCCCGGTCCTCGACCAGGCCTCCACCCCCAGGAAGCAGCCCGTGACAGCTGACTAACACCCAGGTACCTATTTTACTGCTAGGGAACAGGGGCATCAGGGTGAAAGAAACTCTGCCCATTGTTTCTCGCCAGCACCTGGGATCGAACCCGGGACCACAGGATCACAAGTCCAGCGTGTTGTCCGCTCGGCCGACCGGCTCCCTGTGACATACCGGCACCATGACATAATTTCTTTTCTTTGTATGACAAAATTTTACTCGAGCTCAAGTGTTAGATTGTACTGCTTTGAGGAAGACGGGAGGGGGGGGGGGGGTTAGCCAGATTCTAATCCTGGTTCTCCATCGTCGGTCGAGAGTGCTGGAAGCTTGGTGTGTTTCTCGTAGTTTAGACGCTTCCAGGTTGTAGCATCACGGAGCTAATTGGCCTACCAGAAAGAGACGTTTTATTACATTCAATGCTGAATTATTATGAAGTAAAACAATGTCTTCCAGTTTATTTAAAAATCTTCCTACCAGACGAATGTGTACTATACTTGGTAATTGTTTGTTATGGAAATGGTATTGCAGTGAGATTACGTGCCTTATGTTTATCTTATGTGATGATCAGACTATATTTAGAATTGTTCAGCATAATAGAGGTAATGTTAGTAAATATGATTTTAGCATAGTCTCTGCGATGCAGTTTCTTAAGAGAAAATGCTTGTGTACTGTAGTTTTCAGAATTTAAATTATATAGAAGCAAGCAGTTGAGGGACTACTAAGGCAAAGAACCTATTATCCATGCTGTGTTTTACAAGTGAACCCAGTTTTATGAGTACGAGTGAATCACGTTATCCTGTACTGCGGGGCTCTTCCAAATAGTCATGTGAAGTAAATGTGTCGATAAATTAGTACAAGTGTTAAGGGTATGTGAATATTTGCAGGATGTTGCTGTTGTGAGCCAGGACACCTGCCACACCTACTAAGTGCCAATGCAGCCTTCAACCAGCGGTGGCTGGCCTGGGAGGTGACGGCCACCAAGTATGTCTTGGAGGGCTACTCTATCTCCGATAACTCGGCTGCATCCATGCTGCAAATCTTTGAACTTCGAAAGATTCTCATTACTTATTATGTGAAGGTGATTTTTACTGGTTTTCAAATAATTTTGGATATTCTTCCAGAATGTTTTATAGTACACATGCCTTTAAGGGGGCGTTATTCACAAAATATGCAAAAAATGAAAACTCGTTCAATTTCAATCAAACTTTTTTGACAAGTTGTATATGAAAAGGGTTTCATTTGGTCCAAGTCTCAGCATCGTAGCATAAATAGGAAGGATGAAAAAAAATATTGAATTATGTGTCAAATTTTCAAAAATGGTCAAAAAAGATTATCAAACAAAAATGTCAACTGAAATCATGTCTATGACTCACAGGTATCACAATAGCATATATTAAAAACAAATTATAATTAGTTTTATTAACAAAAAATTTAGTTAAAAAAAAAAAGTCAAATTTTACTTTTTTTTTTTTTTTTTATTTTATCTCTCTCTTTTGTTTATGGGGCGATTTGCATGAAACTTATACACCTGTCTGCACGTAAGCCTATCTGTAAGGGTGCCAATTTTGGAGGAAATTGGTTGATGTCAACTTCAGCCACAGAGGGCAACACCTTAGACTTTATTTTTTACTTACTTGAAAGTTTATGTTACTTGAAAATGAATATCTTTTTCATTTTTTATGCAATTTACATGAAACTTACACATTATATATAAATTTTATGTCTCTAAAATCGTTTGCAAGTGTTTTTATCTTGAGTTCTTTATTGACTTTATAATAGCAATAAACATGATATATTTGCATAATTTTGTGGGGGGAACTTAGACTATTTGTATTAGGAAAACTAAAGACGTTTTGGAAAATCTTTTGCTAGAGATCCTTTATTATATGTTAATGTGTCAGAAAAGTGTCATAGAATGATTATATCTGAAAGGTGTGGTTGTAAATTTACACTTGAAAATGTGTCAAATTCGTTGAAAAAAATAAAAAAATTAAAAATCTCCCTTACTATTTAGGCTACAGTGCTGAAACTTGGAACAATTGTAGCCCTTTTCATATACAACTAGTCAAAAATAATGGTTGACACTAAACAACAACTTTATGATACCCGAATAACGCCCCCTTAAAAACAAATAGGAATTCTAAGACTTCCAAGCCACAGATAAGAGTTCAAAATATGATAACACGGTCATGTGAGAGAATTTTCTCATGTATCATGAGAGCTACGCTCGTCGTGTCCCGTCTTCCCAGCACTCTTATATGACAAAGAGTGCTGGGAAAACGGGACACCATGAGCATAGCTCTCATCCTGTAACTACACTTAGGTAATTACTCTCTCGTAGATACTCCATCCTTTGTACGGTTATCTTAATGATATGAGTAAATACATGGTATATGTGTACTCACCTATTTGTGCTTGTGGGGCGTGAGCTCTGGCTTTTTGCTCCCGCCTCTCAACTGTCAATCAACTGGTAATACAAATGAAAAAAAAAACTTTAAGAAAAATGGTTTTCAACCCACCACAGAGGTGTTAAATTTAACATGTGCACAGTGCAGGGGTTAAGAATGCTTTCCAATGAATTTTGGCTGTCACTAGGGCTATATTAGATGGATGCTAAATTATTGCTTGAGTTTCAGCCCAATATTTTAACTTTGAATTCCATTAAAACTAAATAGTCGTGTACAATTTTAATTGAAATTTTAAACTTTTAAAATAATATTATCATTTGTATGTTTATGCTAAAAGTTTGAGTATACTGTATGTCATGGCTTATTTCTGTTGCTTGATATTTTTTAATGCAAGTTTATTTCTCCATATTGATTTGTAATTAATAAAGCCATATTTGCAGAGCATCATCTTCTATGTGGTACGCTCGGTAAAGCTCAAGGAGTGGTTGGAAAAGTCGGAAATAGATGCTTCCTTATCTCATACACGTGATAAAAAATTTGTGGATCTAGATCCCATTTTTAACTTGAACATAGATGAAGACTATGACTTTAAGGAGTCGGGCATCACGAGGACAAGTTTCTGCAATGTGTACCACGAGTGGATTATATACTGTGTGACAAGGAGAGACAGGAACAACCAAGAACAGATAGAGAGTAGCAGAGAGTCTCAGCTCATATCTCTGTGTTTAGCCCTCAGTCTCTTAGGTAAGCTTTCTCTTGATGTTCAGTATTTTCTTGGATGTAATTGTTGCTGTACAGAGATCCTTCAACCGTGCGGATCATATACAGATTCCCGGTAGAGGCGGAAACAAATGGGCCGAGTTTCTTTGATCCTGATGCCTCTGTTCACCTAGCAGTAAATAGGTACCTGGGAGTTAGACAGCTGCTATGGGGATGTGTAACAAAAAGGAGGCCTGGTCGATGACCGGGCCGTCTGGACGCTAAGCCCCAAAATAATCTCAAGATATCCTCAAGATACAGGTAATCTCAAGATATGCAGTGGAATCCCTATTCGAGTTTTAGGGAGATCCAAGTTACTCGATTTTATTTTGACGACATCTCAAACATGACACAAGTCTTAGAGGGTCTCATTATCTGACACCTGCTGTTGCAGCTGACCTTCACAGTAATAGTTCATCCCCTCCATTGAGTATACAACTTGGCAATTAATGGAAGGATAGCTGCCATACCATCAACTCGGGTTTTAATTCTTCCAACCTCCTTCATAGCAATTACATTTCCTAAATGTTTGATTTTGTATAAACTTCACTCTTCTAACTGCTTTTCAAAGAATATCTATGTACTCGAGTAGTACTGTTCTTAACCTTTTGCTGCAGACCCATTGGTTAATGGATCTGCAAGTAATGAATAAACCCCTAAAGGGTAGCTATATATTAGTAAACTATATAATGGTACATTTGCATGTAGAAAAGTAAAGAAAATGTAAAAAACAAATATGTAATTCTTTTTACGTTGTGTGCACGTGTGAGGTTGCCAGGTGAGTGGGGGGGGGGGTCATTTGGTCTGTGGGCTAATGTGATGCAGTAGTGCAGACAAGAAAAGTGTAGATGCGAGCTGTGATGATCTTGTTATATTTTTGCTGTTTCACTTTAATTAACACTGTGTGGCATAGCTCAAATTATTTACTCGTACAATAATTGACTAAAAACAGTGCTTGAGTTCTGTATGTAGGCCTATAGTGTAATATGGGCACCTGTATTAGACATAAGTGTGTTCCTGGCACAGCTCGGAGGAAGTGTCTTACAATCCACTCCTTTGCTGCTATTTTGTCTGGTTATGTCGTCGAGAAATATTCAGACATTGGCAGGAAATACCAAATTATTGGTGTGATGAAGATCGCTTTGTTAGTGATAGAAGATAAACTCATCTATAGTAAGCAATTCAAAGATAGAATTTTTGTTGGTGTGGATCTAGGTTAATGACATTACTTCCATACAGATGTATTATGATAATATTTACATGATACTGTATTATAAAACCTGGGTGGTGATAAAAAAAATTAACATGTGATGCTCCCGTCTGGGAGGCAGTGTCTGGGATGCTCCCAGACGCAGGTTCGAATCCTCGTCACGGCCCTTGTGGATTTGTTCATGTGATGAGCGCATTTCCCCAGAAGTCAGGGTTTACTGATAACCACACTTTTAAGGATCAACAAATCTACAATAATAACCTTCTCTTGCAGATTCACAGAGTTATGTGTGTAAAATATCATTTTTCTAATTGATTCGTGTGTTAGATAATATTTTTGCAATTGTGTATAAAAATTGTTTGCGTCTAACTAAACTGTAATTTTGCCAACAGGAAGACGAGCTTTAGGAGCTGCCTCGCACAATGCCATGTCAAGCGTCGATTTCTTCCTGCACGGTCTACACGCACTCTTTAAGGGTGACTTTCGCATTACCTCTATGAGGGATGAGTGGGTCTTCTCAGATATGGAGTTGTTGAGGAAAGTGGTTGCCCCTGGTGTGAGGATGAGTCTCAAGCTCCACCAGGTAAGGATACTATTGCCTCTCGATATGTTTCTACAGTGTCCTACTGATTTTAAACAGGGTTGCTTTCAACAAAACTTTGTGGAGAGTGAGAAACTTAACTTTTTGTGATGGGTCTTATGGGGAAAATTAGACTTTTAAATGTGTAGTGAATGCTCATTAATTTAACCTTTTGTCTTTGCATCTGTTGATAGCTAACACTTCCCTGGTGCACAGGAAAAAAAATCCCCTCCAAATATTTTTTCCTCCTAATAGTGTGAAAATGCATTCATATCTCAATCAAGATAAAAAAAAATTATAGATTAATTTGGACATGGTGAAGCCTGGAAGTCTTGCAATGATGTAAAGGTTCATGAACCTTCATCAAGTAAGTACAGTGCCCTGGGGTAGTCAAAATCGGGCAGATTAAATATTATGCAGAACTAAATCGTGTATGATATGCGCCGTCTACCTGTTAGGCCAAAATTATATATGTATGAATTTTGGTCTGAAAGGGTTAAGGCTCATTAACCTGCAACTCAAGGTAGCCTATATCAAGTCCCAGCCAAATTATGTCCTCAATGTGTTTGTAATATATAGACTGACAGCTGGACTACTTGCTAATGTTGTAGGCCTATATTTACAAATACAGACAGTACTCTGAAACATTCAGACAAATCAGTAATAGCATGAAATAAGTCAGTTATTCCGACTTATAACAAAATGGGTATTGCTTTAAATATTTTACAGTATTGTATTTGCTTGCCAAAGTAAGGTAGTTTGTGTGCGTGGGGCCCAACTGGATGCATCCCAACCCTTTAAGCCATCCTTGTCTGTAAACAACTCTAAATGCATCTGCTTGTTAATACTTCTGATGTTAATTAATATTAAGGCTGCTTCCCTTACTGGCATTTGCACAATACATAGAAGATCAGAGGAATAGCTTGAAGGTCATTAACATCACACATTTTCAGGATCATTTTATGCTTCCTGATGAATACGACAACCACGAGTCCCTGTACAATGCCATTCTGGAGCACGAAGCCCACCTAGTCATATCTCACGAGGGCGACCCAACCTGGCGTAATGCTGTGCTCTCTGGGAAGCCTTCCTTACTTGCCCTCAGGTAAGTCTTGGCAAAGCTTGAGTCTTGTTTTAAAGGCAACGTGTGAAGTGAATACAGTGGGTCATATAAATTCATATTAATATACTGTATTTAAACTCATATGGGGCAAAGCAGTCATTGCATCCAGGTATTTATTTAATTTAATATATTTTACACTATGGAAAAGCCAACAATCATAGGAACACCTTGCTTCAACAGACTAATTGGAGACTGAATATGTATAGTACTAGCAAGAGTTGTGAATGCTAGGGATTGAAATTGTTTGTGCAGTCAAGCCCAAATACTAAAACACAACTTTGCTTATTTATAAGACATCAAGATGTATAAAAAATACAATTAAAATAGACTTAAAAGCAAATAAGTCTAGCACATCAAATATCCTTTCATTAAAATGGGTACGTGTATATGAAGGCAGGTCTCTCCAAACATATCTCATGCTCGTACACTTGTTTACTTTAATTTGAATTAAAGTAGTTTCATTGACTTCATTTCATCGTGTCCCCTCGGCCCGGTCCTCGACCAGGCCTCCACCCCCAGGAAGCAGCCCGTGACAGCTGACTAACACCCAGGTACCTATTTTACTGCTAGGTAACAGGGGCATAGGGTGAAAGAAACTCTGCCCATTGTTTCTCGCCGGCACCTGGGATCGAACCCGGGACCACAGGATCACAAGTCCAGTGTGCTGTCCGCTCGGCCGACCGGCTCCCTGCCAGTCTGGGAGGGAGTGATTCCTGGTCACTACTTTTACCCTGAAAGCTATAGGAAAGGTTACATAGACTGATTCTCATTTCTTTATTTTCATATCCACTTTTGTAATAATTTGTTTTTAATCAGCTCCATTAAATTATGGTTGAGAGTACACTGGTGTAGACTGTAGAGTATTACCAAGTAAAGAGTAGTTTTTATCTGTATATAACATTTCCTCTGCACAAGCTTTCTCAAATAGATTTCCTTGTACAATTCTACATGAAAAACTGTCTACATATAAGCCTACCCCCAACTTAGTGTTTCTTTATTGTTTACTGATGTTTAGTTTGGTTTATTTTGTCCCTTTCCCTGATTGTAAAGCTTCTACTTAATGTTTTCAGGCATGTTATGGATGATGGTGCTGATGAATATAAAATAATAATGCTCAACAAAAGACACCTGTCCTTTCGAGTGATTAAGGTGAACCGTGAGTGTGTGCGGGGTCTGTGGGCCGGCCAGCAGCAAGAATTGGTGTATCTACGGAATAGGAATCCTGAAAGAGGATCGATCCAAAATGCCAAGCAGGCTCTACGTAATATCATTAACTCTTCGTGTGATCAGCCCATTGGTTACCCTATATATGTCTCCCCCTTAACGACTTCTTACGCTGACACCAACGAGCAGATAAAAGGAGTTTGTGGCGGGCCCATCAGTTTGACCCTCATCAGAGAAACTATTATAAATGTTTGGAAAAGGTACAACAGCACAGTACTTTGTTTTATTTGTTTCTGGTACTAACTATGATCTGATATCACTTCTTGTAAGTTTATTAGTTCAAGAGACAGTCAGCTATTTTGCATGTGGTATCCAAATTCATGACAATCTTGAGATATGACAGTCCATGGGTACTTCTCTTGGCTTTAATCCAAATGCAGTAGTTAGAAAGTGGATTGCATTCTTTAAAGGGCTGGGTCTGTAATTTATTCTTATGATAAACTTGGCAATAAGAGGAATGCACATATTGAAAAAAAACTGTGATCTTATTGGGACAGAGTGCGGCAGAGGTGCGGTGAAGGTTGCTCCAGTGGCAGCTCTGGACTGAATGACGAGTGTGGCCGAGCTGTTGACCCTCATCATGGCAACATTCAACTTCACCAAGGTAACCATGTCAACTTCACTCTTCATTTCATTTTTATATGTCAGACCTTATTTTCTTTGGTATGTGGCCCATACACGTGTCCGCTGCTCGGACACGAGAGAAAAATATCAGACGCACTCGTGCACCTACGTGCGCGATAGTGTTAATTTTCCCTGGAATACGAGAATATGTAAACCACATCCCTCCAACACTTGCATAAGGGATGACATTTTAGTTTTAATTATATTCATAATATTGGTTGTAAAGTACAGTATTGTGAAATATATCATTCCCATTGACAGGGACAGGAACGTTTTGTATACTTGCTTGAAGCAGCCTGTGGGCCGCTCCAAGCAACAGCCTGTTAGACCAAGTTATCACAAGTTGAGCCTGGCCCCAGACCTGGCTCGGGGAGTAGAACTCCTGAAACCCTCTCCTGGTATACTCCAGGTATACATGTACACTTTAGGCTTATATTAAAGTCTTCCCTAGGTCAAACTACTGACCTTCCCCAGTATGCAACCCCCACAACAGTTGAATAACTTTCGAGTACATATTGACTGCTAAGTGAACATAAGCATTAGGTGGAATGAAATGTGCCCAACCATTTTTGTCCTGCCCGGGAATCGAACCTTGGATATCTGATTGTGAGTTAAGAACGAAGCCAACTGTACTATTAGACTCTTCATATCTGGCACAAAGACTGGGGATATCTTTCTGAATTAGCTGTGATGGAAACATGTCTTGTCCCCGTGTGTGTGTGTTATGCGAGATGGTGAGTGTACAGTGTCTCATTGTATAATTTGTCTGATCAACCTTATTTTGTCCTCCATAAAAGTGGTTATTGCAAAGTTATGTAATAAAGCCATTTTTGTTTTTTCAGTTCTAACAACCGTTCCTGCAAGTTTAGGATCTGGTGGCAGTCAAGATGGCTCTCAGGTTGGAGGTCTTAGCTTGGTTACAGCTACAGGAAGCTTAGGCCATGGAAGCCTGGGACGAGGTGGCTCACTTTCCCGTGGGTCGCTGCATGCCAACCGTGGTTCAATTGTGTCTACAGTTTCATCGTTAGTAGGTCCTGCGAACAAACAGTCTACCTCCACACTGGCAAGTTTGGCTGGTCTTCTGTCTGACACTACAGCGGGTCTTACACGCTTGGATCCTAGAGACAGAGACGGGTTGAGCGAGGGGTCGGCTAGTAGCAAAGATAGAGACTGGAGTGGCCGTGACGTATCTCTGCATAGTGGGCGAGATGGAGGATCAATACATAGTGGGCGTGAGGGGTCACTTCACAGTGGTAGAGAAGGATCCTTACATAGTGGCAGAGACATTTCTCTCCACAGCGGACGAGAGTGTTCCCTCCCAGGTGGGGAAAAGAGAGTTCGTCAAGGAATATCTGCCAGCAGCCGTAGCACTCCCACTTCATCAATGTCTACTCCAGCTCGGGACGTACCATCAAATCCCATTGTGACAGGCTCCAGAGACTCTCACTTACGAGACGCAAGTTGGGATGCTTCGAGCTTAAGAGAGGATTGTGGCACTTTGCATGAAGAGAGCGAAGAAAAATTTACCACTCCTCCTCCAGACAAACACGTGCAGCGAGTTCGGGTAAGAATCTTACCCGGTGTCCTTTTTTCTGGAAATTATAAGAAAGCTGGATGTAAGGGTTTATCATCATGATCTAAGTGTGCTATTGGTATATCTATCAATGCCATGTAGAATTTATAATAATATCGACTTGATAATGGTCCAGGACAGACGAAAACATTGTCAGACCAAAACATTGGTCAACAAAACATTGTCGTTTCTTTAATTTCTAGTGTGTGGTTTGGTCAACATTTTTCAGCCACAGTATTGTGACTTTTCATCTGCTTATAATAATATATATTAACTAAGTGATAGGTTATATATAAAATTGAAAGGGTACCAGATTTTTTGAATGCTTTATTGCAGCATTGAAAGAAAAAGAATGTATTCCTGTAGCAGCACATCGAGTAATGTGTGAGAGTGGTAGCATGTGTGTGTGTATATGATAACTAGAATGGTTTCAACTTCCAATTATCTGGGACAAGAAGCCTGTTAGGCTTATCTTGGCCAGGGGTGGGGAATCTTTCCGAGGGCATGATTAAATTAGTGATAATTTTCTAAAAAGTTCTCTTGAGCACCAATGGGGAAAAAATGCTTGAAAGCATTCACAAAGAAATTTGTTTAGGCGACTAATAACTGTGTATGCATGACAATAAAATAGTTACGTGTATTACATTCGGTACGAGTGCCATTGGTTCCCCGCCAATGACCGACCTTTCGGAGGATGCAACCCTCGATAGTTGTCTTACTATCACGTATTGCTAGGTGTACAGAGGCATCAGGTAAATATAATGACACTCAATCTCTTCCTGCTTGGGAATCAAACTTGTGATTCAATCAGTTGTGAACTAAATTGCATGTATATTCAGTCCGTTCTCTCAAGTTGTCACAATAGACACAATGATGTACTGAATTTGCTACATCTAATCTATAGCAACACCAGTGGATTTATGCATACAAAATGTGGTTGTTTGTGACCTGGTGTGAATTATAGTACATTAAATTTTTTCCACTGGAGATTTTGACATCAAATTCTGTGTAGTATTCGAAAGGACAGGTATATTAGAGTACAGTACATGCAAAGCGCTTTTTTTTTGTCACAAGGAAAACTAATTAGTTATGCCACAGTTGTGATGCTTGAAGTCTGAGGCTAAGCATGAGTGACTTATATTAATCCTCTCAGACACACTTTCGTTTCAACAGCATACCTTTTTGGGGTCTATATGGGGCTCAAGCTCAATATTATTTCTTGAAAATATTTATTTATTTATTTATACTGTGTTGTAAGAAGATGGCTTCCTCTTTCCAGTGGCACCATTAAAAAAATTATATAAAATAAGTTTTTTGAGTCTCCATTTTTCTAATAGAAAATACAGTATTGTCCAAATAACTAAATACCGTGCGAGATGTGTTCTAAAGCACACAATATCACTATAAATACAACCAATAACAATAATTCAATAACAATAATTGCAAACACTTCTCTTGTTTAGGAGGTTGGGATTTTGGTTTTCCTAATTTAATTCACTTTCACATTCTAATGACACTAAAACGTATCATCCGTACTCAGACGGCAAATGTTTTGATGATGCTAAAATGCACTATGTGATTGCTATTTATAAACATTTGTATTTTCATTGCTGCTGCGCATAATCTATTTTAAATACACTTTTATTTTTGCATCTGTTCTTGAAGAGAATTCATTTGCAAACATTTTGACGTAAATTAATACATAGTATTACCCAACAAATAACTTAGAAAACGTAAAAATAGTGTAAAAAATATTTACATCCCTGAGCGGTCCAGGGAGCTCGGAATATTTATGATTTGGAATAGAGAGAGAGGCCTGACTGCCAAAGTGTTACTTTTTCTTCTTACAAATGTAATACAAATTTTGTGGAGAGAGTGAGGACTTTCTCGTCCAGCTCAGTCAAATAGGCTATTAGAATAAAACAAAAGGGCAGAATTAAAAAAAAAAGTAGGGTACAGCATGGCTGTCCATAATAATGCTGCAGTGTGAATGTATAGAGAACATAAGGTACTAATATTCTGTTTTAAGAAAAGAATGCTGGTAACTTCAGTATGAGGTTTCCACAAAATTTCATGTCGTCTTACTTTCAGATAATAGATGCAAACCAAGTTTATGACACCTTGAATTTAGGTCGTCGTATAGACGTGGTGTGGCCAGATGAAGGGATGCGTAAGAGAGGCGGAAGAAACTTCTGGGGCCACTGGGTGCCAGTGGAGGGTATGGAGGGACCCATCGTACACACCTGGACGCCACACCACCCGGACCCTCGCCTTCGATCACACGTGGATCGCATCATTCTTCTAGTTCAAATTGAGGATAAGTTTGTTCCTGTTGCCCAGAGTGCTGTGCAAGACCTTGGGGCAGAAGTCTAGACTGCAATTATCATGTTACATTTTGACTATGGTGTAGTCACAGCCAGTTTTCTTGACAGTAAGTAACCTCCGATTTCATGTTGAATGATTCCAACATGTATGGAGATTCGGTTATTCAATTTAATAAATTTTTATTAATTGTTAATATTATAAAAACCTTTTATAGTATTTTTAAAATTTTTATATGCTAGGGAAAGATGACAAGCATTTTCATAATATAGTGTCAAGACTGGAGAGAAATGCCTGTATGGTAACTGGTAGTGATGCAGAGGCAGCCCCATAATATCGTACCTCGGCTCCCATCTTTTATGTGCTTCCGTGCATAATATAATTTTATAAGTGAAGAACCCACTGCGCAATAAAAGCTCTGATGTTGTATGGAAATATGATGTGGAGTTTTGAATAATTAGGGTTTTGCACAAAGTAGATACCAACAGATTGAGCCAAAATCACCGCTAATCTGACTTCTTCACCCATTTGTTACTGACCTCACTGGCAATCTTCCTGGAATACAAATAAAAGTCAAAAGCTTTTGAAATATCGCTTGTGATCATTTACCTGATATTGCTCATCATGCTTCTTGTTCTTGAAGGAAAACTAGTGTTCAATTATACATGCTATATATTTTCATATATTAAATACATCTTCAGAAGGAATTCCTTCTTCATTCCTTCTGAAGATGTATTTAATATACGAAAGTACTTAAGAAAATTCCTGTTTCATTTTCCTCCGTGGTCTGACATTGTCACATTCTTAATCACGTGTTTATTTTTGTGATATACACACATGCTATATATTATATAGTGGATCTAGAGGTTTCCCATCCAAGAACAATTGATGATTATCAAAACGTGCACCTTGGGCTTTATGATTCATGGGTAGAAGTCATTTGTAAGGCAGCCCTATGCATCAGAATATGTTGACCTTCATATCACTAGACCATCTTAATTAACTTTGTCCTGATTGATTGTCAGTGTTCTCACATAATGGTGTAATGAAGTTAGATCAATTATTAACTTAGATACAAATAGCACAGATTTTGTTTAATGATTTTTGACTTGAGACCTTTATACAAGTTGAACTTCCTCCATCCTACTGTATAGGTTACACTCATTATAAATGTGTGTGCTTGAGACACTCCTGAGTCAAGTGTCCTTGCAGTCCTTGTATTCAATATTCATTAAAGCACATTGATTTCTTAGAACAAATATTGAATCATGTCAAATATTTTTTATCCATCCAACTAGAGCCTAAACATGAAACTTTCACAACAAAGACATAATTCGTGTATTTGTTGCAGTTTTGTAAGAATCAGGAGAGAGCAACTGTGACTTACTAGGTAGGATGTGTCGGTATATTTGTTGAGGTTTTGTAAGAATCAGGAGAGAGCAACTGTGACTTACTAGGTAGGATGTGTGTGTATATTTGTTGAGGTTTTGTAAGAATCAGGAGAGAGCAACTGTGACTTACTAGGTAGGATGTGTGTGTATATTTGTTGAGGTTTTGTAAGAATCAGGAGAGAACAAGTGTGACTTACTAGGTAGGATGTGTGTGTATATTTGTTGAGGTTTTGTAAGAATCAGGAGAGAGCAACTGTGACTTACTAGGTAGGATGTGTGTGTATATTTGTTGAGGTTTTGTAAGAATCAGGAGAGAGCAACTGTGACTTACTAGGTAGGATGTGTGTGTATATTTGTTGAGGTTTTGTAAGAATCAGGAGAGAACAAGTGTGACTTACTAGGTAGGATGTGTGTGTATATTTGTTGAGGTTTTGTAAGAATCAGGAGAGAGCAACTGTGACTTACTAGGAAGGATATAGCACGGTGATCATTGTACTTGATGGCGTTTACCATTTCTCAAGGGGCTGTATTACTTGTTTCATGCCACATATCTACTTCTGGTTTCCACTTCTTATTCACAAGTACTTAGTATGGTGGATTGTTTGGGTGAGATTTTCTCGTTCAAATTAATGGTCTGTCTTGTCGTGCGTAGATTTCAGGTTTGATGATCACGGCAGATGATGTTCATTTTTTATTTGTTAAAGATTGTGATGTGTTTATTGTAGTACATTTGGGGGAGGCATTTACCTTGCCATTCCAGAGGATGATTGTGTTCACATGAGTAGAGTGTAAGGTAGATCTTTGTTGATTGGCCTGTGCCACATTCATCTATTTACAGGGAGAGAAATTCCATGATTTAGTGTAATGGTACCGTCATGACGTGCAGTGAATGTAGCGTTGTCCTCACAGTTTGTGGAAGTAGCGGCAGCAGCCACAAAAGACTGTACAACAATCTTGTGGTGTGTTAATCTACAATTGAAATGAAGCCATGTAACAATAACTTGATGGTTGCTTACTTGAAAGATATTATCTTCTAATAATCATTCATGTGCAGACTTAGTGGGAAATGATGTATGTTCTCAAAACAGATGCCACTGACTTAAAAAAAATCACATTCATTTTTAATTATTATTAGTGAACCATCAGCTGTGCCTTTTCTCAGGTAAGGTTAGTTAATTAAAATGGGTGTGCTGTTTTTTCTTTTGTGAATGCTGTCTTTGCTTGTAACTGTTAGGCTTTTGGTTTTCATAATTGACATACAAGTATTGTATTATGCATTGCAAGTGGTTCATATGACAGTATAGTGTTTTGCATTTGTGAATATTGACAGTGGTGGGACCTGGTGAGGTATATTGGTTTTAAACAAATGTTGTTGTGAAAAGGTTAGTTTAAGGTTCCTACCATTGATAAGTACTATAGAAAGCTTTTCAGGGAACCTTGTTGTTTATCAGTATTCTTGGAAACATTGACTACATCAGTATTAAGTACCCACATGTCCACAACACTTGTCAACACAATGAAAGGGGACAAAAGCAGCTGAGAAATTGCATTGAAAGTCAGTTGTGTCTTGAGTTTCCTTTTGGCTGGCTCTTCATGCATGACTTTTGGCCCTCAATTTTTTTTCTTCGAAAAATAATTTCTTCCCAGAATTTTTCCTTACCAAAATATTTTAACTGATTGAGCATATCTTCACCTTTTACGTTTTCTGTGTAGCCAATAGTTTAAACATTTGGCCGAAGAACCGACTATGATGACCAGACCACACACTAGAATGTGAACCGACTATCACACTTGATTTCTTTCCAATTCCTAAAGACTTTTGAGAGTGATACTTTGTGCTTTGGTGACTGCTGTCTGCCACATGCATTACATTATATATGGTACGTTTACAAGTTCAGTGGCAAGTGCTTCTCTTTACCAGAGGGTGTTGATGTTCTCTTATAAAGACTTAAATCATTTGAAGGATCCTTAAATGTCTGAGGCAGTTTGCCTGTGGCTACTCCATTTTGATGGGCAATTGCCAAGAAGCTAATGAATTGGAAATATAGACATCAGACACAAATTTTTTCACACTAATGTCCATACACTTTACAAGTTTTGTGCCCAGTAAATATTGGGGCTCTGTATATACTCGAGTTGTACGCTAAACAAATTTGTGCATGGTAATAGATTTATTTATAAGGTGTGCCAGAAGAATGGTGTAAAGATATTTCTATTTTGTATATCTGGGTGTGTATGCCTATTGCTTACCCATCAATCACTTGCGGCCTCCTGTTGTTGCACACCCGGATTATAGTACATTTAGTCTTCCAAGTACACTCCAGTCTTAGTTGTGTTTTGACATTGGCTTATTGAAACCTCAACAATTATAAAATGTAAATAAATTTAGAATTATATATATAATTAATGATGGTGGATACCTTCTTAGAACTGTTTTCATTAGAGGTCAATCAAATGTAGAACTCTCCAGATATTTATGATTCCTTTCACTAGTGTTAACACTTTAGTGCGCGCGGCACTCGTGAAAAGAAAAGCGCCTTGTGCGCGCGGCGTTCTGTGCGCTCAAGCGTAAACACAAAAAAGTGTATAATCTTTTCACGCTCCTAACATCAATTCTCGAGCTACGTTTTTCATTTTGGTATCAATGTGTTGGCAATAAAATTCTCTACAAGATCATATGCATAAAATGTCACCAAAGCATTTGCTATCCCACCACGAAGTAAATAAACACGAAGATGACTCGCCGTGACACCCAAACAGGAAGTAAATGTTCATACTCTTTCGTTTGTTGCCAGCCTCACAGTCATCCTACAGCGCTTATTTTGATATCACTGAACTTGCAATAAAATTCCCCACCCAGACATATGCCTATCAATGTCTAATTATGTTCCGCACGAGTGTGGGAACTGGGTGAAGCGTTAGCCGTGATTTCAGCAGTGACGACACTGTTGTGATGCAGCGCTTTGAATGTTTATACTTATTTCGCTGTCATGACATTATTTCTCGAGCTACGTATTTCATTTTTATAACAATGTGTTCGCAATAGAAAGTTCTATAAGAACATGGGTAGAATTGGCCAACAGAGCGTCAAATAAATTTGCGGCGAATAAAATCTTACGCGTGTTTGTACCCGTGAGAGTAAAAAGTTTTTACTTTGCTCATGTTTTTTCAAGTTTATACTTGATTCACTCCGTTTTTTTGTTTGTATAGTGTTCGGAATAAAATTCTCTACACAGACACATGCATATAAATGTAGAATCATGATCGCGGCCAACACAAGAGTGTGTGTAGTGGGCGATTACCCTCGTTGTGTCACCAACTCAATAGTCTCTCCTCTAAGTTACAATACATTGCCGTTTTCTCAAATAGGCACAGTGCCTATTAGAGAAAACAAAAATTTAATGGCAAACATATTCATACAAACCCCAAGTCGATCGAGTAGTAAATACCCAATATAACACGGTCCGTAAATTTACGTCGTGATCCGACAAGCGGTTAAGCAAAACGCCCGTAATTCCAAGTGGAAAATCCAGGATAGTGTTTAACACTTTCGCCCGGGCATGACGCAGCATTGCGTCATCCATTTACTGGCGGCAATACCGGGGATGACGCAGCATTGCGTCATCCACTTTAAATAATCGCCAAAAATCAGGTTTTTTTCCGATTTTTTTGGGACTAGTTTTAAAATGTGCGCCGATGTCTTCCCATTTTCTTTGTTGAGCCTCGTGGCCCTCAGGCGGCTTGGCACACGCCGTGGGCCTATTGTCTTTGCTCCACTGTTGTGACCAATGTCGCCTCCCTTCGCATCTCAAACGTGTGAACATTTCGGCTATTTTCCGTGGCTATATTTCTTACTGCGGCTTTAGAAACTATCTACTCTTACTCCACGATGGATAGTAATCATGAACAAGGCCCTTCCAGGAAGAAAATTGCGAAAGAAAGGCTTGAAAAGGGCGGGAATTGGGAGTGTAGCAGGAAGGCGTCCGAGCGCTCACTCACGGCTAACGCGTGGCCCGTCTTCAACTCGTCGGCGGTTGGAGCGTGACCAGGTTTTTTATTTTATATGCTAATGTTCCTCTAGAGAATTTTATTACGAACCCATTGAGACCAAAATGAAAGATCTAGGACAAAAATTGAGGTGACCAGAGTGAAAATAGTGAAAACATTTTATCCCGTTTGCGCGCTCCCGGGTAACTCG